TGTGTATATTGATGATGTGTATTGACAGTGTTGTGTATACTGATGATGTGTGTACTGACAGTGTTGTGTATACTGATGATGTGTGTACTGACAGTGTTGTGTATACTGATGATGTGTGTACTGACAGTGTTGTGTATACTGATGATGTGTGTACTGACAGTGTTGTGTATACTGATGATGTGTGTACTGACAGTGTTGCGTATACTGATGATGTGTGTATTGACAGTGTTGTGTATACTGATGATGTGTGTACTGACAGTGTTGTGTATATTGATGATGTGTGTACTGACAGTGTTGTGTATACTGATGATGTGTGTACTGACAGTGTTGTGTATATTGATGATGTGTGTACTGACAGTGTTGTGTATACTGATGATGTGTGTACTGACAGTGTTGTGTATGCTGATGATGTGTGTACTGACAGTGTTGTGTATACTGATGATGTGTGTACTGACAGTGTTGTGTATACTGATGATGTGTGTACTGACAGTGTTGTGTATACTGATGATGTGTGTATTGACAGTGTTGTGTATACTGATGATGTGTGTACTGACAGTGTTGTGTATACTGATGATGTGTGTATTGACAGTGTTGTGTATACTGATGATGTGTGTACTGACAGTGTTGTGTATGCTGATGATGTGTGTACTGACAGTGTTGTGTATATTGATGATGTGTGTATTGACAGTGTTGTGTATACTGATGATGTGTGTACTGACAGTGTTGTGTATACTGATGATGTGTGTACTGACAGTGTTGTGTATGCTGATGATGTGTGTACTGACAGTGTTGTGTATACTGATGATGTGTGTACTGACAGTGTTGTGTATACTGATGATGTGTGTACTGACAGTGTTGTGTATGCTGATGATGTGTGTACTGACAGTGTTGTGTATACTGATGATGTTTGTACTGACAGTGTTGTGTATGGTGATGATGTGTGTACTGACAGTGTTGTGTATACTGATGATGTGTGTACTGACAGTGTTGTGTATACTGATGATGTGTGTACTGACAGTGTTGTGTATACTGATGATGTGTGTACTGACAGTGTTGTGTATACTGATGATGTGTGTACTGACAGTGTTGTGTATACTGATGATGTGTGTACTGACAGTGTTGTGTATATTGATGATGTGTGTACTGACAGTGTTGTGTATGCTGATGATGTGTGTACTGACAGTGTTGTGTATACTGATGATGTGTGTACTGACAGTGTTGTGTATACTGTTGATGTGTGTATTGACAGTGTTGTGTATATTGATGATGTGTGTACTGACAGTGTTGTGTATACTGATGATGTGTGTACTGACAGTGTTGTGTATACTGATGATGTGTGTATTGACAGTGTTGTGTATGCTGATGATGTGTGTACTGACAGTGTTGTGTATACTGATGATGTGTGTATTGACAGTGTTGTGTATGCTGATGATGTGTGTATTGACAGTGTTGTGTATACTGATAATGTGTGTACTGACAGTGTTGTGTATACTGATGATGTGTGTACTGACAGTGTTGTGTATACTGATGATGTGTGTACTGACAGTGTTGTGTATACTGATGATGTGTGTACTGACAGTGTTGTGTATATTGATGATGTGTATTGACAGTGTTGTGTATATTGATGATGTGTATTGACAGTGTTGTGTATATTGATGATGTGTGTACTGACAGTGTTGTGTATACTGATGATGTGTGTACTGACAGTGTTGTGTATACTGATGATGTGTGTATTGACAGTTTTGTGTATGGTGATGATGTGTACTGACAGTGTTGTGTATACTGATGATGTGTGTACTGACAGTGTTGTGTATACTGATGATGTGTGTACTTACAGTGTTGTGTATACTGATGATGTGTGTACTGACAGTGTTGTGTATACTGATGATGTGTGTACTGACAGTGTTGTGTATGCTGATGATGTGTGTACTGACAGTGTTGTGTATACTGATGATGTGTGTACTGACAGTGTTGTGTATACTGTTGATGTGTGTACTGACAGTGTTGTGTATACTGATGATGTGTGTATTGACAGTGTTGTGTATACTGATGATGTGTGTACTGACAGTGTTGTGTATATTGATGATGTGTATTGACAGTGTTGTGTATATTGATGATGTGTGTACTGACAGTGTTGTGTATACTGATGATGTGTGTACTGACAGTGTTGTGTATACTGTTGATGTGTGTACTGACAGTGTTGTGTATACTGATGATGTGTGTATTGACAGTGTTGTGTATACTGATGATGTGTGTACTGACAGTGTTGTGTATACTGTTGATGTGTGTACTGACAGTGTTGTGTATACTGATGATGTGTGTATTGACAGTGTTGTGTATATTGATGATGTGTATTGACAGTGTTGTGTATATTGATGATGTGTGTACTGACAGTGTTGTGTATACTGATGATGTGTGTACTGACAGTGTTGTGTATACTGTTGATGTGTGTACTGACAGTGTTGTGTATACTGATGATGTGTGTATTGACAGTGTTGTGTATACTGATGATGTGTACTGACAGTGTTGTGTATACTGTTGATGTGTGTACTGACAGTGTTGTGTATACTGATGATGTGTGTATTGACAGTGTTGTGTATGCTGATGATGTGTGTACTGACAGTGTTGTGTATACTGATGATGTGTGTACTGACAGTGTTGTGTATATTGATGATGTGTGTAGTGACAGTGTTGTGTATATTGATGATGTGTGTACTGACAGTGTTGTGTATACTGATGATGTGTGTACTGACAGTGTTGTGTATATTGATGATGTGTGTACTGACAGTGTTGTGTATATTGATGATGTGTGTACTGACAGTGTTGTGTATACTGATGATGTGTGTACTGACAGTGTTGTGTATATTGATGATGTGTGTACTGACAGTGTTGTGTATACTGATGATGTGTGTACTGACAGTGTTGTGTATATTGATGATGTGTGTACTGACAGTGTTGTGTATACTGATGATGTGTGTACTGACAGTGTTGTGTATACTGATGATGTGTGTACTGACAGTGTTGTGTATGCTGATGATGTGTGTACTGACAGTGTTGTGTATACTGATGATGTGTGTACTGACAGTGTTGTGTATACTGATGATGTGTGTATTGACAGTGTTGTGTATACTGATGATGTGTGTACTGACAGTGTTGTGTATATTGATGATGTGTGTACTGACAGTGTTGTGTATACTGATGATGTGTGTATTGACAGTGTTCTGTGACAACACAAGCGATGTCGGCCCAAGTAACGTCACGTGTCACCACCAAGTTCTGTCACAACACACGCGATGTCGGCCCAAGTAACGTCACGTGTCACCACCAAGTTCTGTCACAGCACAAGCGATGTCGGCCCAAGTAACGTCACGTGTCACCACTAAGTTCTGTCACAACACACGCGATGTCGGCCCAAGTAACGTTACGTTTCACCACTAAGTTCTGTCACAACACAAGCGAGGTCGGCCCAAGTAACGTCACGTGTCACCACCAAGTTCTGTCACAACACAAGCGATGTCGGCCCAAGTAACGTCACGTGTCACCACCAAGTTCTGTCACAACACAAGCGAGGTCGGCCCAAGTAACGTCACGTGTCACCACCAAGTTCTGTCACAACACAAGCGATGTCGGCCCAAGTAACGTCAGGTGTCACCACTAAGTTCTGTCACAACACACGCGATGTCGGCCTAAGTAACGTCACGTGTCACCACTAAGTTCTGTCACAACACACGCGATGTCGGCCCAAGTAACGTCACGTGTCACCACTAAGTTCTGTCACAACACACGCGATGTCGGCCCAAGTAACGTCACGTGTCACCACCAAGTTCTGTCACAACACACGCGATGTCGGCCCAAGTAACGTCACGTGTCACCACGAGGTTCAGGAGCGTTTATGATCCAAGAAACAAACATAAGTTTGATCTTTGGTTTCGTCACAGTGTGTGTAATGTACATATCTCCCCCGGGAGGTTTCGTACCCTACTTTACGAGACACAACTACTTATCATAAGACCCGTGAAGAACCGGGGTAGAATAGATCTTCAGCAACCCATGCCTGCCGTAAAAGGCGACTATGGTTGTCGTAAGAGGAGACTAACGGGATCGGGTGGTCAGGCTCGCTAACTTGGTTGATGCATGTCATCGTATCCCAATGGCGTGGATCGATGCTCATGCTGACAATCACTGGATTGTCTGGCCCAGACTCGATTATTTATAGACCGCCGTCATATAGCTGGAAGATTTCTGAGTGTGGCGTTAAACGACAAACAAACAAAGAACTGATCATAATCTACCTGTTGAAGCTGACCCCTAGCACAGGATCCCCAGAGAACATATTGTACTTAAATCACCAGCTATTACCGACGAAATCCATTATATTTTTCGTTGTGAATACAAATGTGTACATGGCTAAGTATTTATGTTGGCAAAATATGCTCTCTTTCCAACGCCATTTTTTACATCCAATTTGAAATATAGCGACAAAACCATTTTCATATCCAATAGAAACTACTGCATAAAGCAGAGTCGAATGTACAATTCCGACTTTATCATTGAGCATGTGTTTATGAATTGCTATCAAATTTTCCATTATTTGTACGGAATATCGAGTGTGACCAAACAGACCGCACTACTGCGTCTGGTACACAACCCGTGGGATGATAGATGCATTCAGATTACAGATGGCGTATTGATATTTACGACGGGGAAGTAGATAGTAGTGACTGACATAGTCTGTGTGGGCCTGGCGCTGAGTGCTGATGTCTTGTTCACCTTTATTAATATAGACTCTGAGGAGATCCCAATCAGCCCGTGGAACACGTACATTATCAAGCCTGACTTCCAACAAGGCGACACACAGATCCGAATGGTACTCTCATTATGTGAAGCGATAGGGTCACCGGGAGCGTTGTTAACAATAGGTGCCGCGAGTGTGTGACCCCTTGTGTCAGACCTTGGCGACTGTTACCTTAGAGGTAGGAAGAAAATGTCGGCGTACTTACCTCCAGTCCTCACGACTATCTTTGTGTCGCCCCTCACAGCCTTGGCGTAATGGCGATATCACACATATAGACAGGCGATATCACACATATAGACAGGCCGGCAGGTTGTCGGCTTTACGCAATTCCTTCCCTCACGAGAAGGACTCACGTGAATCATATCCTGAGCGCCGAGCTCACATACCGAAGCTAACTGTTAACCCTTAAAGCGGAACACCAACACTCCACCACACTGCGACTGGTTTGAATGTTAACCCTACCAATGTCAAGTGCCATTTATGCGAGCCTCAGCGTTCATTGCTTAACTCGTCATCTAAACATAAGATTTACGTTGAAAGTTCGAGTCCGAGAATATGACCACAGCTGATGCTGAACTATCAAGAGGCAGACCCGAATAACAGAAGGTAACCCACAACATTGAATATAGACAGGACCATATCAGGGTTGAAGTCAATATATCTACCCGCTACAGGACCGATGTCACTACTACTACTACTACTACTACTACTACTACTACTACTAATACTACTACTAATACTACTACTAATACTACTACTAATAATAATTATATTTCTAATGATACAACTACTACTACTACTAATTATATTTCTAATGCTACAACTACTACTACTACTACTAATTATATTTCTAATGCTACAACAACTACTACTACTACTACTAATTATATTTCTAATGCTACAACTACTACTACTACTACTACAACTACTACTACTGCGATGTTCTCTGTGTTATTTGTATGACCACACACGACAGACTAGTTATTCAGAAGACAATTTTGAAAAATAGGTAGGTTACGCAGAAAATGGAACATAGGTAATCGATGTGTTACCTTACACAATAGAACAGAGGGGAAAAGTAAATTATATGAAATGTCAAACAAAAAATTAATGTTCATTACTTTCGTTTTCAACTACAATAAAAAAAAATGTCAGACAGCTGACACTGATGCAGGGCTATTGATGAAGGACTATTGATGAAGAACTATTAATGAAGGGATGAAGGAGTATTGATGCAGGACTTGATGCAGGACTATTGATGAAGGGATGAAGGACTATTAATGAAGGGATGAAGAACTATTGATGCAGGAGTATTGATGAAGGGATGAATGACTATTGATGAGGGACTATTGATGCATGGCTATTGATGAATGACTATTGATGAAGGAATAAAGGACTATTGATGAAGAACTATTGATGCCGGACTTTTGATGAAGGTCTATTTATGAAGGGATGAAGGACTATTAATGAAGGGATGAAGGACTATTGATGCATGACTTTTGATGCATGACTATTGATGCATGGCTATTGATGCATGACTATTGATGAAGGTCTTTTAATGAAGGGATGAAGAACTATTGATGCAGGACTATTGATGAAGGGATGAATGACTATTGATGAGGGACTATTGATGCATTGCTATTGATGAATGACTATTGATGAAGGAATAAAGGACTATTGATGAAGAACTATTGATGCCGGTCTTTTGATGAAGGTCTATCAATGAAGGGATGAAGGACTATTGATGAAGGGATGAAGGACTATTGATGAAGAACTATTGATGCCAGACTTTGGATGAAGGTCTATTAATGAAGGGACGAAGGACTATTGATGAAGGGATGAAGGACTATTGATGAAGAACTATTGATGCCGGACCTTTGATGAAGGTCTATTTATGAAGGGATGAAGGACTATTGATGAAGAACTATTGATGCCGGACTTTTGATGAAGGTCTATTAAAGAAGGGATGAAGGACTATTGATGCATGACTATTGATGTATGGCTATTGATGAAGGACTGTTGATGAAGGGATGAAGGACTATTTCGACTGGCCACTGACCGTGAAAGAAGTGGTCATCGTTAACTTGTAGATGATGTAGGAGACGGTAGATACTGTTTAATCTGTTGTCATTTAAATATCTGAGTAATGTTTGTCAAAGTTTCTCAAATTGAACATTACCTTGTCCGGAAAAATGAAATTTGATGATAAAAAAACAAAGCAGATGACAATAAAACCGATCGCCCAAACGCATCATGGCAACGGCCATGGTAACCCGATGCACGTGAGTTCCGTGCAATCTGACATGCACATGCGTTCCCCCATAAAAATCCACCCAGATCGGATAACATTCATTCGTTATTGAATTGCGACCACATGCCAAGATTGACAAGAAATCAGCGATACCAAGCCCTTGGACGTTGCAAGCTGGACAAACCGCCCAGCAAGTAGCCAATGCATTTCAAGTCCACATTAGTGCAGACACCGTGCGTCGACGATTGACGAGCAGACACCTCCACTGTCACAGGCCACATCGAGGACCCATCCTGACACCATGCCATCGCCGGGACCGTCTTCAGTGGCCAACACAGCACCAGCTTTGGCACCACCATCAGTGGAGAAGTGTCCTCTTCTCAGACGAGAGCCGTTACTGTATCTCAACAGCAGATGGCAGAGAAAGAGTCTGGCGACGCAGTGGCGAACATTATTCGGATGCTTGTGTTGTTGAGAGACACTCGTGGGGTGGTCCGAGCATCATGGTGTGGGGTGGAATTGATCTTGCACAGAGGGTCGACTCTGTAGTCTTCCAACACATCAGGTCACAGCAGCTCGGTACATTGATCAAGTCTTGGGACCACACTTGGAGGCAATAGAACAATGTAAGGCGGGATGTTTTATAGTCAGGCAGGAGCAGATGAATATATATATTAATTTTGTATGGCCTAAAGTAGCGAATATGGAATATAATTTGACAAGTCGAGATTACAAGAATGCGAGATTTTACATCATGTGCAAATGTTGCATTCTTGCGTTGTCGACTTCTGACAAAAAAAGCTATTTATCATTTAACTAAAGCATTTATCCATGACATAAGCTTATGCCATAAAAACATGTATGTCATACCCCAATGACATAAGTATGCAAATTAGATATGCAAATTAGATAACCGGAATTGGAACTTTTTTCGCCGGTGCACGTGAGTAGGTGTTTACAAACAACATGGATACCTTTGATGTTGGAGACAATGTTTTAATAGATCAAAGGGGAAGTGCTACAGTGATATCCGTGTTGACAAATGCATATTACAGGTTACAGGTTGATGGTACCGAATTTGAATTTGACTGTGATGAAGGCAGATTATCAAAAGTTTCATCATCGAAACGCCATCGTCGAGCACGGCGAAGCAGACGACGAACACAAAGCCGAAAGATGCCCAAGGACGATTTGTGGCTGTTGAGGACGGCATGATCGATGGTGTGATCCTGGACAATCAAAACAAAAACACAGCCAAGAAAACTTTGTACGATTTGAAACTGTTCGATAACTTTCTAAAAGTCCAAAATGAATTTCGCCAAATGCACGAAATTCCCCCAAACGAACTAGACACACTTCTCTGCAAGTTTTTCATTAGTGTTCGAAAAACAAATGGGGAAAATTATGAACCAAACAGCCTCACGGGTTTTCAGAGCAGCATCGAGAGATCACTAAAACGAAGGGGGTATGGCTATTCTCTTACGTCATCTTTAGAATTTTCACGATCACGGGAAGTATTAAAGGGGAGAAAAATTGAACTAAAGAAAGAAGGGCGTGGCAACTTACCAAGGAGAGCCGACCCGATTGGTGATGTAGAGATCGAGGCCCTGTGGCAGTCCGGATCCATTGGAATCAGTAATTAATCCAATGAGCATAATATACTGTCTATGGCTCTACAACACAATCCATTTCGGGTTAAGAGGTGTCAATGATCACTACAACATGTGTTGGGGGGACATCACATTGCATGTTGATGGAGACGATCACGAATATCTTGAACTGTCCATGAGACAAGAAAAGAATAGGTCCGGTGAGAATCCTCGTGATCGTCGCGACGTTAGGCCCAAAATGTGGGCTAATGTTGCTGATCCCTCTCGGTGCCCTGTGCAGGTGTATAAGTTGTATGCCTCCACGCGTCCACTCGACTTCTGTCGAGATGACGATCCCTTTTACATCGGCACACACACTTTAGGTATGCCTAAACCTGGCGATCAGTGGTTTATCCGCTATCGTATTGGGAAAAACAAACTTTCCTCTCTCATGAAAAACATGTGCGATGCCGCCAGTCTCCAAACATCGAAACGATTCACAAATCTTCTGCGCGCAAACACCTTGTGCAAAAGTTGAATGAAAATATTGTTCCGCCAAATCAAATAATGCAGATAACTGGCCACAAAAACATCCATTCTGTGAACAATTACTGCCATATTAATCCTGACCAGAACAAGCAAATATCCAACATCATTTCACGAAACACTCCATCCCACACTGTGACATCCCACCTTGTTGATGAAACTGCCGTCATGCAGAGCGGCCCTTCGCGTAATGTCCAAATCGACAGTAGACAACACAGTCAGCGGTCTCAAATAATAAATGTTTCTGGTGGTGTCAACACTATGTTTGCTGGCAACATTACTGGTGGAAACATAACGATTAATCTCGTTAAACCTCCAAGCCCGGTCCCAGTCAAAAGACGCCGGATTGTCATCGAAAGTGATAGTGACACCGACTAACGCATCTACTCTGACCTCTCAGCCGCGAGACGTTCTCCAAGTGAGAGAGCGGTTTGATTTGAAACTATATATTATAGGTGAAGTTACACCAAAGATATTATAAGATTACACAGAATCGTTGTTGTTACCGTTATTAAAGTTTCAATTATTCTGCAAAAGTCTGTACAATTATTTTGTAAAAAAAATCCGAGGAACTTTTTTTCTCAGCGAAGGAATATGCCATAAAGAAGTTAAGAGGTTGTTTATTTTGGTTTACACGGCTATCGAAAACATGTATCACTACGCACGATCTATACGTAAGATTTCGACAAGTTGCTGATGAAAATGTTAATGCAATTATTCCTTAAAAGGGAAGCAAAAATGTGAAAATGATAAATAGAATTCATCACTCGTGTCGCCAAAGGCTAGGCAAATACCGATTAACTAAGACTCGGTTGATATTTCCCATATTAAAAAACACTCGTGATGAATCCTATATGTTCCAAAAACACAGGAATGCGAGAACGCGAGACTTTGGCCAAATCTCGCGTTCTCGCGATCTCGCATTCTCGCACTTTTGGCATATTAAGCTCGTTTTTAAAGGTCCACATCGTGAGAATGCCCCTTACAGTATTCCATACGTATCAGACAATGAAAACGTTTGTCACGCACCGCTGCGCCGGTACCTTTAGGCCACGTCCCCAAATATATTTGTTGTGGAAGCCGATTACGAAGCGTGTGATTTCAGTACCTTCACTTGGACATTTGAGTACCTACTACGAACATAATGAATCATCATAATGTAACAACAGAGGGGTGTGGATGTAGTGTTACACACACACACACACACACAAACACACGCGCGTGCGCACGCACGCACGCACGCACGCACGCACGCACGCACACACACACACACACACACACACACACACACACACGCACACACATATGCACACACGCACACGCACACACATACGCACACGCACGTTCTCAAGCACGTACACAAACAATACTCTCAGCATGACATAGTCCTTCATTCCCTTTGTTGAAGAAAGCCATGGAACAACCTCTACAACGTTGCCCAGTCACCAGAAACACCCGCACAATGGCCACTGTCAGAGCCGGTAAGTCACCAGTCCTTAAGTGCCTCCCTAACCGTTTGGAATACGCTCATTTCAATGCGTATTGGTGTCACGGGTAAAATAATTTAATGTTCCTTTCATGGTCACTAAAAGAGAGTTTATGTCGAAGATATTTGGTGGTGAATACAGTTACCTCACTGACCGATGTTGACAGACAGGCCGCATTGTGCGTCGGAAGAAAACACGGCAATGAAATCACTGAATTCACTAATACCCAGCATATGAATGGTGACTTTTAATCTTCTGGTTAGCACAAGAAGACGTTACCTAGAATTGGTATGCGGCTGACGTACAGCACCCCTCCGCCAGAATACACACGCTATACAAAACAACGTTTGCTATACAAACGGACATTTAGCAGTGCGATTGAAAGGTTTGCAATACACATGTCAAAGGTGTTTTGTACAATACAGATCATTTATCAAAGTGATATACGTAGTTATATTGCTCGTCATTCAACTCACTGGAAATCTGTGTATCTAACGGTTGGGTTTATAACGCCACTTGCACCAGAGCTCTCAACTCACAGGTTCGGTGGAGAATCTGGAAAAGTAACTCTGACATTATTTCCAGAAAGTGTACCCGCGGGATGGCAGAAGAAGGCCATCACCACCTCCTGCTGCTACTGCTGCTGCTGGGATGTGTGTGTGTCGGCCAAGCGTATGTAAGTACACAGTGTGTGTGTGTGTGTGTGTGTGTGTGTGTGTGTGTGTGTGTGTGTGTGTGTGTGTGTGTGTGTGTGTGTGTGTGTGTGTGTGTGTGTGTGTGTGTGTGTGTGTGTGTGTGTGTGTGTGTGTGTGTGTGTGTGAAGGTATAGGGAAGTGTGAAGGTATAGGGAAGTGTGGATGTACAGTGTATGATGTGTGGGTGTACAGTGTATGAAGTGTGGATGTACAGTGTATGACGTGTGGATGTACAGTGTATGACGTGTGGATGTACAGTGTATGACGTGTGGATGTACAGTGTATGACGTGTGGATGTACAGTGTATGACGTGTGGATGTACAGTGTATGACGTGTGGATGTACAGTGTATGCCGTGTGGATGTACAGTGTTTGACGTGTGGATGTACAGTGTATGACGTGTGGATGTACAGTGTATGACGTGTGGATGTACAGTGTATGACGTGTGGATGTACAGTGTATGACGTGTGGATGTACAGTGTATGAAGTGTGGATGTACAGTGTATGACGTGTGGATGTAGGTAGAGGGGGGGGGGGGGTGATGTTGGTACACGGGGGTTGATGAAGGTACAGGGAAGTGGGGCTGTACGGTGTATGAAGTGTGGATGTAGGTAGGGGGGGATGTTGGTACACGCGGGTTGATGTAGGTACACGGAAGTGGGGATGTACAGTGTATGACGTGTGGATGTACAGTGTATGACGTGTGGATGTAGGTACAGGGAAGTGTGGATGTACAGTGTATGACGTGTGGATGTACAGTGTATGAAGTGTGGATGTACAGTGTATGAAGTGTGGATTTAGGTAGAGGGGGGTGATGTTGGTACACGCGGGTTGATGTAGGTACAGGGAAGTGTGGATGTACAGTGTATGACGTGTGGATGTACAGTGTATGAAGTGTGGATGTACAGTGTATGAAGTGTGGATTTAGGTAGAGGGGGGTGATGTTGGTACACGCGGGTTGATGTAGGTACAGGGAAGTGTGGATGTACAGTGTATGAAGTGTGGATGTACAGTGTATGAAGTGTGGATGTACAGTGTATGACGTGTGGATGTACAGTGTATGACGTGTGGATGTAGGTAGAGGGGGGGGGGGGGGGGGGTGATGTTGGTACACGTGGGTTGATGTAGGTACAGGGAAGTGTGGATGTACAGTGTATGCCTTTCAGGGGCCTCTGCCATTGCCTATCTGTAATTCTGATACACGTGTCCACTGTCTGTTGCAGATCACAGTGACTACGAACCTAGGTACAACGAGCGTCAGACGCAGCAACTACCAAACGACGCAGAAATTATTCGAGATCACAGTAGACACCAACGCCTCAAGTTTTCTGTGTGAAGGTTCCTCTGGTTTATTCAACACCAAGAGGCTCGACCCCGACACCAGTAGGTGCATGGTTATCAGCTGATGTCTGACTAGCGGAGATGACGTGCACATATGCACATGGACAGATGTTAAATATCACTCTACTGTTTTTATATATGTCACAAACCTATGAATCTTTTGGACTTTTCTCATCTGAGGATGCGCCATGTAGCAATTCATATATGTCATGTTATGTTTGTGTCAATACACCCAATACACCCAATGTTATAGGAAACGATATAAAATCATTAAATCAATAAACAACATCCATTTTATCTCTTATCAAGCCTAATGATATGATGTACTATACCTTTAATATGGGAAACATATAGACAGTCGTCAAGAAGTTAATAAGTTATCAAGTAAGAATGCCTCTTAACTGTTTTTAGTCTCTGTAATCACTAAGTAAGTAAATTATCAAAAATCATTCCAAATTACCTACGTTTGATAACACGAAGTACATTCCATTGCAGACTTCTGGATATACTTCGATCCCTCGAATACTCCCGCGGAGTTAACAGGAGACGAATACACCGTCAACGGCAACTGCTCCACCGCTGAACCAAACTACGACTCCTTCTCCATCAAGGTGAACGTCATCAACAACGAGGCCCCAGTGGTAACCAATGGACCACTAGGTAAATAGGACAGGTGGCTTTACTCATTTGCATATTTGTCGTGGCATCATGTTTATCTGTTTATCACATCGATAAAATCAGAAAAAACCCAAAGATTACATGATACTATTTGGTATTACCCAGAAACTGTCCTACAGTTCGTGCGACCTTGTGTGTGGAGACACATAAAGCTTCCAGGCGCCTTTGTTCGTTACACTGGCGATGATGTAATGCCTATTGCCTTGTGTAAACATGTTAGTTCCTGGTCACAGCCAACAGTATATTTAACGTCACAAGCTGCAGCACGTGTTTACCTGGACGGGGGAGAAGTGGAATCAACTGGCCGTCAGTTCTGATTTGAGCGATCTTAAAAAAAGCATTACGTTGAAGTGGCGAATACGTGTTGAAGTAAAATCAATCAAAATAGATAAATACCGGATGTTGTAGATATGCCGGACATCAGGAGGAGAGTGAAACTTGTTGAGTGGACCTTGTTGTTGAGTGGACCTTGTTGTTGAGTGGACCTTGCTGTTGAGTGGACCTTGTTGTTGAGTGGACCTTGTTGTTGGGTGGACCTAGTTGAGTGGACGTTGTTGTTGAGTGGACCTTGTTGTTGGGTGGACCTAGTTGAGTGGACGTTGTTGTTGAGTGGAAGCTGTTGTTGAGTGGACGTTGCTGTTGAGTGGACCTTGTTGTTGAGTGGACCTTGTTGAGTGGACCTTTTTGTTGAGTGGACCTTGTTGTTGGGTGGACCTTGCTCTTGAGTGGACCTTGGTGTTGAGTGGACGTTGTTGTTGGGTGGAAGCTGTTGTTGAGTGGACCTTGTTGTTGAGTGGACCTTGTTGAGTGGACCTTGTTGTTGAGTGGACGTTGTTGTTGAGTGGACCTTGTTGTTGAGTGGACCTAGTTGAGTGGACGTTGTTGTTGAGTGGACGTTGTTGAGTGGACCTAGTTGAGTGGACGTTGTTGTTGAGTGGACCTTGTTGTTGAGTGGACGTTGTTGTTGAGTGGACCTTGTTGTTGAGTGGACCTAGTTGAGTGGACGTTGTTGTTGAGTGGACGTTGTTGAGTGGACCTAGTTCAGTGGAAGCTGTTGTTGAGTGGACCTTGGTGTTGAGTGGACGTTGTTGGTGAGTGGAAATTGTTGTTGAGTGGACCTAGTTGAGTGGACGTTGTTGTTGAGTGGACGTTATTGAGTGGACCTAGTTGAGTGGAAGCTGTTGTTGAGTGGACCTTGGTGTTGAGTGGACGCTGTTGTTGAGTGGACGTTGCTGTTGAGTGGACCTTGTTGAGTGGACGTTGTTGTTGAGTGGAAGCTGTTGTTGAGTGGACCTTGTTGAGTGGACCTTGTTGAGTGGACCTTGTTGTTGAGTGGACCTTGTTGTTGGGTGGACCTAGTTGAGTGGACGTTGTTGTTGAGTGGAAGCTGTTGTTGAGTGGACGTTGCTGTTGAGTGGACCTTGTTGTTGAGTTGACCTTGTTGAGTGGACCTTGTTGAGTGGACCTTGTTGTTGAGTGGACCTTGTTGAGTGGACCTTGTTGTTGAGTGGACCTTGTTGTTGGGTGGACCTAGTTGAGTGGATGTTGTTGTTGAGTGAAAGCTGTTGTTGAGTGGACCTTGTTGTTGAGTGGACGTTGTTGTTGAGTGGACCTTGTTGTTGAGTGGACCTTGTTGTTGAGTGGACGTTGCTGTTGAGTGGACGATGTTGTTGAGTGGACCTTGTTGTTGAGTGGACGTTGTTGTTGAGTGGACGTTGTTGTTGAGTGGACCTTGTTGTTGAGTGGACCTAGTTGAGTGGACGTTGTTCTTGAGTGGACGTTGCTGTTGAGTGGACGCTGTTGTTGAGTGGACGTTGCTGTTGAGTGGACGCTGTTGTTGAGTGGACATTGCTGTTGAGTGGACCTTGTTGTTGAGTGGACCTTGTTGAGTGGACATTGTTGTTGAGCGGAAGCTGTTGTTGAGTGGACCTTGTTGAGTGGACCTTGTTAATGAGTGGACGTTGTTGAGTGGACGTTGTTGTTAAGTGGACTTTGTTGTTGAGTGGACGCTGTTGTTGAGTGGACCTTGTTGTTGAGTGGACGTTGTTGTTGAGTGGACGTTGCTGTTGAGTGGACCTTGTTGTTGAGTGGACTTTGTTCAGTGGACGTTGTTGTTGAGTAGACGCTGTTGTTGAGTGGACTTTGTAGTTGAGTGGACGTTGTTGTTGAGTGGACCTTGTTGTTGAGTGGACCTTGTTGTTGAGTGGACCTAGTTGAGTGGACGTTGTTGTTGAGTGGACGCTGTTGTTGAGTGGACCTTGTTGTTGAATGGACCTTGTTCAGTGGACGTTGTTGTTGAGTGGAAGCTGTTGTTGAGTGGACGTTGTTGTTGAGTGGACCTTGTTGAGTGGACCTTGTTGTTGAGTGGACCTTGTTCAGTGGACATTGCTGTTGAGTGGACCTTGTTGTTGAGTGGACCTTGTTGTTGAGTGGACGTTGTTGTTGAGTGGACCTTGTTGAGTGGACCTTGTTGAGTGGACCTTGTTGAGTGGACCTTGTTAATGAGTGGACCTTGTTGAGTGGACGCTGTTGTTAAGTAGACGTTGTTGTTGATTGGACCTTCTTGTTGAGTGGACCTTGTTATAGAGTGGACCTTGTTGAGTTGATCTTGTTGTTGAGTGCGCCTTGTTGTTGAGTTGACCTTGTTGTTGAGTGGATCTTGTTGTTGAGTGGAAGCTGTTGTTGACTGGACCTTGTTGAGTTGACCTTGTTGTTGAGTGGACCTTGTTGTTGAGTGGAAGCTGTTGTTGACTGGACCTTGTTGAGTGGACCTTGTTGTTGAGTGGACCTTGTTCAGTGGACATTGCTGTTGAGTGGACCTTGTTGTTGAGTGGACCTTGTTGTTGAGTGGAAGCTGTTGTTGACTGGACCTTGTTCAGTGGACCTTGTTGAGTGGACCTTGTTAATGAGTGGACCTTGTTGAGTGGACGCTGTTGTTAAGTAGACGTTTTGTTGATTGGACCTTCTTGTTGAGTGGACCTTGTTATAGAGTGGACCTTGTTGAGTTGATCTTGTTGTTGAGTGCACCTTGTTGTTGAGTTGACCTTGTTGTTGAGTGGATCTTGTTGTTGAGTGGACATTGTTGTTGAGTGGATCTTGTTTTTGAGTGGACATTGTTGTTGAGTGGACATTGTTGTTGAGTGGACTTTGTTGTTGAGTGGACGCTGTTGTTGAGTGGACATTGCTGTTGAGTGGACATTGTTGTTGAGTGGACCTTGTTGAGTGGACCTTGTTGAGTGGACCTTGTGAATGAGTGGAAGCCGTTGTTGAGTGGACCTTGTTGTTGAGTGGACGTTGTTGTTGAGTGGACGTTGCTGTTGAGTGGACCTTGTTGAGTGGACCTTGTTAATGAGTGGACCTTGTTGAGTGGACGTTGTTGTTAAGTAGACGTTGTTGTTGAGTGGACCTTGTTATAGAGTGGACCTTGTTATAGAGTGGACCTTGTTATAGAGTGGACCTTGTTGTTGAGTGGACCTTGTTATAGAGTGGACCTTGTTGTTGAGTGGACCTTGTTCAGTGGACGTTGTTGTTGAGTGGAAGCTGTTGTTGAGTGGACCTTGTTGAGTGGACCTTGTTGAGTGGACCTTCTTAATGAGTGGTCCTTGTTGAGTGGACCTTGTTGAGTGGACCTTGTTAATGAGTGGACCTTGTTATAGATAGGACCTTCTTGTTGAGTGGACCTTGTTCAGTGGACGTTGTTGTTGAGTGGACCTTGTTAATGAGTGGACCTTGTTGAGTGGACGCTGTTGTTAAGTAGACGTTGTTGTTGAGTGGACCTTCTTGTTGAGTGGACCTTGTTATAGAGTGGACCTTGTTGAGTTTATCTTGTTGTTGAGTGCACCTTGTTGTTGAGTGGACCTTGTTGTTGAGTGGATCTTGTTGTTGAGTGGACATTGTTGTTGAGTGGACTTTGTTGTTGAGTGGACGCTGTTGTTGAGTGGACCTTGTTGCGTGGACGTTGTTGAGTGGACCTTGTTAATGACTGGACCTTGTTGAGTGGACGTTGTTGTTAAGTAAACGTTGTTGTTGAGTGGACGCCGTGGTTGAGTGGACCTTGTTGTTACGTGGACGCTGTTGTTGACTTGACTTTGTTGTTGATTGGACGCTGTTGTTGAGTGGACCTTGTTGTTGAGTGGACCTTGTTGTTGAGTGGACGCTGTTGTTGAGTGGACCTTGTTGTTGAGTGGACGTTGTTTTTGAGTGGACGCCGTGGTTGAGTGGACCTTGTTGTTGCGTGGACGCTGTTGTTGGGTGGACATTGTTTTTGAGTGGACGCTATTGTGGAGTGGACTTTGTTGTGGAGTGGACCTTGTTGTTGAGTGGACGCTGTTGTTGGGCGGACCTTGTTGAGTGGACCTTGTTGTTGAGTTGACGCTGTTGTTGAGTAGACGCTGTTGTTGAGTGGACCTTGTTGTTGAGTAGACGCTGTTGTTGAGTGGACGCTATTGTTGAATGGACCTTGTTTTTGAGTGGACGCTTTTGTTGAGTGGACGCTATTGTTGAGTGGACGCTTTTGTTGAGTAGACATTGTTGTTGAGTGGACCTTGTTGTTGAGTGGACCTTGTTGTTGAGTGGACGCTATTGTTGAGTGGACGCTGTTGTTGAATGGACCTTGTTTTTGAGTGGACGCTTTTGTTGAGTGGACGCTTTTGTTGAGTGGACGCTATAATTGATTGGACCTTGTTGTTGAGTCGAACTTGTTGATGAGTGGACGCTTTAGTTGAGTGGACCTTGTTGTTGAGTGGACCTTGTTGATGAGAGGACCTTGTTGTTGAGTGGACCTTGTTGTTGAGTGGACCTTGGTGCTGAGTGGACGCTGCTGGTTTGTTTAAGATCCTTGTTGTTAACTTTGTACTCACGCCCAGTGTTGAGAAGGTTCCCATGATGCACACGTGATGTGCTATGAGCAGTCCCATCAGTAGTTAACGGAGGCTTGTGTGCTTGTTGGTTCCAGTGACTATATCGGTACAAGTTACTACAACCATTGGTCAGATTATCGGGACTGTGGTGGCCACGGACAACGACGGCGATCTGCTGACCTTTAATGTCCCTACGCAACCGGTCGGGTTCAATATGGATAGTGAGTATTTAGTTCAATTCAAATATATATTGTATTGAAGACCATAGACCCCAATGAAGTGTATGCAATACAGAGCAGGGTCATTTCACAAATAGATTTACATGTTTCATTTCAGTACATTTCTGCTTTTGAAAGCATGCGTCAAATGTAACAAGACAATTTATAAATCATTTCTGGTTTCCATAACGCGAATATATTTTTGAACAGAAGGTCGAAGTACATACATATTTGGTATTTGTTTGCTTTCGAATATCTTTTGAGAATGGGCCTATGAAGGTGAACTGATTCAGACCTTAGATAGGCTTAGGTAACAAAACGTACAGAATGTTATCATTTTATGGTGTCTCCCGATATCAATATTAAACCGTGTACATCGAACTCGAGCACGAATAAATCGGTAACAAATGTACACAAGGTCGAATCTGTTATATATTGCAATACTTCTAGGCTTGTCTAAAGGTGATACGTCAAATTGAGTGCATCTGGTGAAATAGCGTGGAGACATGTTTAGTGAAAAAATGTCCGTTGTCATGTGCCACACAATCCCAGCAAACAACTAGCGTCCAGTGATCAGTCCGATCACCCGTCAATCTGACCAAAACTGAAATGTCAAAAAATCACGAAAGCAAATTCATTGTAAAACAAACCACTCTCAGTAGCGCGTATCTGATCCGCGTGATGCACCGTCGTCTCATGCTACCAATAAGTGTCTGGATGGTTTCCAAGTGAAGTTCCTATTGAGTTACCGGAAGGACAGGGCGTCGTCAGAAGGCGATCTTGAGCTAGGTCAACACGTGTTTGGTTGGGTTGAGGTCTGGTGACCGGGCTGGTAGGCATCAACAACCCTGGCACCATGAGGTCGTGAGATATCGCCCATGAGGACGAAACCTTGATTGCACCAGCATGGGGTCTCACATACACATTCATTTGCCATTCCTGAAGCGCCCGCCTGACAGAGGCATGGGCATCGGACCTTCCAGATCTACTCATCCCACCCCAAATCATAACTGAGCCCACTCCAAAGCTGTCATGTTCAGCTACGTTGGAATCCTGAAATCTTCCTCCTTGTCTTCGCTGCACTCGAGCACGACGAACTGTGACGCCTAGACAGTATCTCGATTCATCAATGAAACGTTCCGGAGTCCAGGTCTGGCCTGTCCAGTCGACGTGATCTTCATGCCCTGCTGATCGCACTGTGGTTGACACCAAAGACGTTTGCAACTTGATGTTGTGTTGACCCATCGGCTCAATTCTTCGTTCGTCAAACGACGTCTTTGACGCTGAGGAGACATAAGTGCATTCAGCTGCTGCCATCCTCACTAGCAATTGTTGCTATGATTGTGGGTTCGAATTCCGGTTCGCCCCGATCATGTTTCTAGTTTTGTCAGCACCATACCCGTGCTCGTGGGTTTCACCGAAGTGGTAAACGTCTGAGACCTGCATCACTTCGGGCTTTCCTCCAACATTAAGCTGACACGCCGTGATATAACTGTAATACTGTTAAAAGCGGCGTTAAACCCAACTCAATCACTCACTCACTACGCCTGATGTGGAAATCTGTTTGGCACATGAAATAGTTTAAGCCTGTATTTAACGCATTTAACGGATCTGTCTGTAAACTATGGGTACCGTCCTTGTTAACAAACAGCTTCTTTAAGTGGCATTTAGAAGTTGGTTTGATGAACAAGGAGATAATTCTATGGCTATACAACTTCGATGTAGATACAAGCACCGTTTATCAAATGATGTCAAAAAGAAATAAAAATATCATCATCAGAAAACATCAGAAGGAACAATCCATGTATATCAGAGAACAATGGTACTACTCTTTGATATGTATCTAGAATTTCAGCAGTGGATGGATAGTGGGTAGGCTGCACGTTCACAATCCTGTCTTTAGCGTGTAGTGCGCCAGAGAAAGGCTGAGACATGGATAGTGGGTAGACTACACGTTCACAATCCTGTCTTTAGTGTGTACTTGGCCAGAGAAAGGCTGAGACATGGATAGTGGGTAGACTGCACGTTCACAATCCTGTCTCTAGTGTGTAGTGGGCCAGAGAAAGGCTGAGACATGGATAGTGGGTAGACTGCACGTTCACAATCTTGGCTTTAGTGTGTAGTGGGTCAGAGAAAGGCTGCGACATGGATAGTGGGTAGACTACACGTTCACAATCCTGTCTTTAGTGTGTAGTGGGCCAGGGAAAGGCTGCGACATGGATAGTGGGTAGACTTCACGTTCACAATCCTGGCTTAAGTGTGTAGTGGGCCAGAGAAAGGCTGCGACATGGATAGTGGGTAGACTTCACGTTCACAATCCTGGCTTAAGTGTGTAGTGGGCCAGAGAAAGGCTGCGACATGGATAGTGGGTAGACTTCACGTTCACAATCCTGGCTTAAGTGTGTAGTGGGCCAGAGAAAGGCTGCGACATGGATAGTAGGTAGACTACACGTTCACAATCCTGTCTTTAGTGTGTAGTGGGCCAGGGAAAGGCTGCGACATGGATAGTGGGTAGACTTCACGTTCACAATCCTGGCTTAAGTGTGTAGTGGGCCAGAGAAAGGCTGCGACATGGATAGTGGGTAGACTTCACGTTCACAATCCTGGCTTAAGTCTGTAGTGGGCCAGGGAAAGGCTGCGACATGGATAGTGGGTAGACTTCACGTTCACAATCCTGGCTTAAGTGTGTAGTGGGCCTGAGAAAGGCTGCGACATGGATAGTGGGTAGACTACACGTTCACAATCCTGTCTTTAGTGTGTAGTGGGCCAGGGAAAGGCTGCGACATGGATAGTGGGTAGACTTCACGTTCACAATCCCATCTTTAGTGTGTTGTGGGCCAGAGGAAGTGTTCGTCATGGATAGTAGGTAGACTACACGTTCACAATCCTGTCTTTGGTGTGTAGTGGCCCAGAGGAAATGTTCGTCATGGATAGTGGGTAGACTACACGTTCACAATCCCGTCTTTGGTGTGTAGTGGGCCAGAGGAAGTGTTCGTCATGGATAGTGGGTAGACTACACGTTCACAATCCTGTCTTTAGTGTGTACTGGGCCAGAGAAAGGCTGAGACATGGATAGTAGGTAGACTACACGTTCACAATCCTGTCTTTGGTGTGTAGTGGGCCAGAGGAAGTGTTCGTCATGGATAGTGGGTAGACTACACGTTAATAATCCTGTTTTTAGTGTGTACTGGGCCAGAGAAAGGCTGAGACATGGATAGTGGGTAGACTACACGTTCACAATCCTGTCTTTGGTGTGTAGTGGGCCAGAGAAACACTGAGACATGGATAGTGGGTAGACTACACGTTCACAATCCTGTCTTTAGTGTGTACTGGGCCAGAGAAAGGCTGAGACATGGATAGTAGGTAGGCTACACGTTCACAATCCTGTCTTTGGTGTGTAGTGGGCCAGAGGAAGTGTTCGTCATGGATAGTGGGTAGACTACACGTTAATAATCCTGTTTTTAGTGTGTACTGGGCCAGAGAAAGGCTGAGACATGGATAGTGGGTAGACTTCACGTTCACAATCCCATCTTTAGTGTGTTGTGGGCCAGAGGAAGTGTTCGTCATGGATAGTAGGTAGACTACACGTTCACAATCCTGTCTTTGGTGTGTAGTGGGCCAGAGAAAGACTGAGACATGGATAGTAGGTAGACTACACGTTCACAATCCTGTCTTTAGTGTGTAGTGGGCCAGAGAAAGGCTGAGACATGGATAGTAGGTAGGCTACACGTTCACAATCCTGGCTTTGGTGTGTAGTGGGCCAGAGGAAGTGTTCGCCATGGATAGTGGGTAGACTACACGTTCACAATCCTGTCTTTAGTGTGTTTCTGGGCCAGAGAAAGGCTGCGACATGGATAGTGGGTAGACTACACGTTCACAATCCTGTCTTTGCTGTGTAGTGGGCCAGAGGAAGTGTTCGCCATGGATAGTGGGTAGACTACACGTTCACAATCCTGTCTTTAGTGTGTTCTGGGCCAGGTAAAGGCTGAGACATGGATAGTAAGTTGACTACACGTTCACAATCCTGTCTTTTGTGTGTAGTGGGCCAGAGGAAATTGTTCGCCATGGAAAGTGGGTAGACTACACGTAAACAATCCTGTCTTTAGTGTGTTCTGGGCCAGAGAAAGGCTGAGACATGGATAGTAAGTATACTACACGTTCACAATCCTGTCTTTAGTGTGTGTTGGCCAGAGGAAGTGTTCGCCATGGATAGTGGGTAGACTACACGTTCACAATCCTGTCTTTAGTGTGTTCTGGGCCAGATAAAGGCTGAGACATTGATAGTGGGTAGACTACACGTTCACAATCCTGTCTTTAGTGTGTACTTGGCCAGAGAACGGCTGAGACATGGATAGTGGGTAGACTAAAGTTCACAATCCTGTCTTTGGTGTGTAGTGGGCCAGAGAAAGGCTGAGACATGGATAGTGGGTAGACAACACGTTCACAATCCTGTCTTTAGTGTGTACTGGGCGTGAGAAAGGCTGAGACATGGATAGTAGGTAGACTGCACGTTTACAGTCCTGTCTTTGGTGTGTAGTGGGCCAGAGAATGGCTGAGACATGGATAGTGGGTAGACTACACGTTCACAATCCTGTCTTTAGTGTGTACTGGGCCAGAGAAAGGCTGAGACATGGATAGTAGGTACACTAAACGTTCACAATCCTGTCTTTGGTTTGTAGTGGGCCAGAGGAAGTGTTCGCCATGGATAGTGGGTAGACTACACGTTCACAATCCTGTCTTTAGTGTGTTCTGGGCCAGATAAAGGCTGAGACATGGATAGTAAGTTGACTACACGTTCACAATCCTGTCTTTTGTGTGAAGTGGGCCAGAGGAAGTGTTCGCCATGGACAATGGGTAGACTACACGTTCACAATCCTGTCTTTAGTGTGTACTGGGCCAGAGAAAGACTGAGACATGGATAGTGGGTAGACTACATGTTCACAATGCTGACTTTAGTTTGTAGTGGGCCAGAGAAAGGCTGAGACATGGATAATAGGTAGACTACACGTTCACAATCCTGTCTGTATTGTGTACTGGGCCAGAGAAAGGCTGAGACATGGATAGTAGGTAGACTACACGTTCACAATCCTGTCTTTAGTTTGTAGTGGGCTAGAGGAAGGCTGCGACATGGATAGTGGGTAGACTACACGTTCACAATCCTGTTTTTAGTGTGTACTGGGCCAGAGGAAGGCTGAGACATGGATAGTGGGTAGACTACACGTTCACAATCCTGTCTTTAGTGTGTAGTGGGCTAGAGGAAGGCTGAGACATGGATAGTGGGTAGACTACACGGTCACAATCCTGTTTTTAGTGTGTAGTGGGCCAGAGGAAGGCTGAGACATGGATAGTGGGTAGACTACACGTTCACAATCCTGTCTTTAGTTTGTAGTGGGCTAGAGGAAGGCTGAGACATGGATAGTGGGTAGACTACACGTTCACAATCCTGTTTTTAGTGTGTAGTGGGCCAGAGGAAGGCTGAGACATGGATAGTGGGTAGACTACACGTTCACAATCCTGTTTTTAGTGTGTACTGGGCCAGAGGAAGGCTGAGACATGGATAGTGGGTAGACTACACGTTCACAATCCTGTCTTTAGTTTGTAGTGGGCCAGAGGAAGACTGAGACATGGATAGTAAGGAGACTACACGTTCACAATCCTGTCTTTGGTGTGTAATGGGCTAGAGGAAGAGTCCAACATGAACAGTCACCTTTACTGTATTTAATCTTTAATCTTTAGTGTAAAGTAGGCTGGCGCAATATTTATAGCATACACTCAACATGCAGAATTAGACAAACTCATCTTCCCGAGGTAAGGGAGTTGACTTGCTATTTAAGTCTAGTTTCCTCCCTTGCCGAACTAGGCTGGAATTATGGAGTTATATTTTGTCTGAACTCACCAGTCTATACATAGTCACATCAAAATCGCGTAACGAAATCGACATTCGGTTCATAAACAACATGGCAAATTTTAGCCGATTCCACCGTTAACTGGGCGTCGACAGATGTTTTCTAAATCTCTTCATATTTTTAATCAAAGTGCTAAAGTGATTTGGGGCACTTCGTGAACGAAGACCCATTTTAAAACAATAAAGACCTTGATTATCGATCAGAATGTCTTGACTGGGCATGTCCATTTGGTTTGAACCAAATGTAAGCGATATGCGAGGTGGAATCAGAAAGGAGAGACAAACAAGGGACAAAACTCCCTATAGCCACTGGTGGCGCTACAACCGAGCCACGAAATTCTATCCTAAATCGGCAAGGGTGAAAACTGGACTTTTACAGCCAGTTAACTCCCTAGCCTCGTGAAGATCACAAACTCTGAACTATATTGTTAATGTGCATCCTCCTTGTATACCAAGCGTTCACAAACTTTGTTTCAGATGGTGGACTAATCAGTACCACTAAAAACATGGCGGAACTGGACTCAATATCAACGTTGATTTCTGCATCTGTCAGCGACGCAACTCACACCACAAACTTCCAAGTCAGGATTAGGCTAGATAGTAGGTGTCTGACGCTCGTCCGTCTATCTGACTGTCTTCCTTCTGACACTCTCCCATCAATCTGACTGTCTTCCTTCTGACACTCTCCCATCCGTCTGACTTTCTTCCTTCTGACAACCTCCCATCAATCTGACTGTCTTCCTTCTGACACTCTCCCATCTGTCTGGCTGTCTTCCTTCTGACACTCTCCCATCAATCTGACTGTTTTCCTTTTGACACTCTCCCATCTGTCTGACTGTCTTCCTTCTGACGCTCTCCCATCTGTCTGACTCTCTACCTTCTGACACTCTCCCATCTGTCTTACTGTCTTCCTTCTGACACTCTCCCATCTGTCTGACTGTCTACCTTCTGACACTCTCCTATCCGTCTTACTGTCTTCCTTCTGACACTCTCCCATCTGTCTTACTGTCTACCTTCTGACACTCTCCCATCTGTCTGACTGTCTACCATCTGACGCTCTCCCATCTGTCTGACTATCTACTTTCTGACACTCACCCATCTGTCTGACTGTCTACCTTCTGACACTCTCCCATCTGTCTGACTGTCTTCCTTCTGACACTCTCCCATCTGTCTGACTGTCTTCCTTCTGACGCTCTCCCATCTGTCTGACTCTCTACCTTCTGACACTCTCCCATCTGTCTTACTGTCTTCCTTCTGACACTCTCCCATCTGTCTGACTGTCTACCTTCTGACACTCTCCCATCCGTCTTACTGTCTTCCTTCTGACACTCTCCCATCTGTCTTACTGTCTACCTTCTGACACTCTCCCATCTGTCTGACTGTCTACCATCTGACGCTCTCCCATCTGTCTGACTATCTACTTTCTGACACTCACCCATCTGTCTGACTGTCTACCTCCTGACACTCTCCCATCTGTCTGACTGTCTTCCTTCTGACGCTCTCCCATCTGCCTTACTGTCTTCCTTCTGACACTCTCACATCTGTCTGACTGTCTTCCTTCTGACACTCTCCCGTCTGCCTTACTGTCTTCCTTCTGACACTCTCACATCTGTCTGACTGTCTTCCTTCTGACACTCTCCCGTCTGCCTTACTGTCTTCCTTCTGACACTCTCCCATCTGCCTTAGTGTCTACCTTGTGACACTCTCCCATCTGTCTGACTGTCTACCTTCTGACTCTCTCCCATCTGTCTTACTGTCTTCTTTCTGACACTCTCCCATCTGTCTTACCGTCTACTTTCTGACACTCTCCCATCTGTCTGACTGCCCACTTTCTGACACTCTCCCATCTGTCTTACTGTCTATTTTCTGACACTCTCCCATCTGTCTTACCGTCTACTTTCTGACACTCTCCCATCTGTCTGACTGACTACCTTCTGACCCTCTCCCATCTGTCTGACTGTCTACCTTCTGACACTCTCCCATCTGTCTTACTTTCTACCTTCTGACACTCCCCCATCTGTCTTAGTGTCTACCTTCTGACACTCTCCCATCTGTCTGACTGTCTACCTTCTGACACTCTCCCATCTGTCTTACTGTCTACTTTCTGACACTCTCCCATCTGTCTGACTGTCTACTTTCTGACACACTCCCATCTGCCTTACTGTCTACCTTCTGACACTCTCCCATCTGTCTGACTGTCTTCCTTCTGACACTCTCCCACCCGTCTGACTGTCTACCTTCTGACACTCTCCCATCTGTCTGACTGTCTACCTTCTGACACTCTCCCATCTGCCTTACTGTCTACCTTCTGACACTCTCCCATCTGTCTTACTGTCTACCTTCTGACACTCTCCCTTCAGCCTTACTGTCTACCTTCTGACACTCTCCCATCTATCTGACTGTCTACCTCCTGACACTCTCCCATCTGTCTTACTGTCTACCTTCTGACAACCTCCCATCTGTCTTACTGTCTACCTTCTGACACTCTCCCATCTGTCTGACTGTCAACCTCCCGACAACCTCCAATCTGTCTTACTGTCTACCTTCTGACACTCTCCCATCTGTCTGACTGTCAACCTCCCGACACTCTCCCATCTGTCTTACTGTCTACCTTCTGACACTCTCCCATCTGTTTGACTGTCTACCTCCTGATACTCTCCCATCTGTCTGACTGTCTACCTTCTGACACTCTCCCATCTGTCTTACTGTCTTCCTTCTGACACTCTCCCATCTGTCTGACTGTCTTCCTTCTGACACTCTCCCATCCGTCTGACTTTCTTCCTTCTGACGCTCTCCCATCTGCCTTACTGTCTACCTTCTGACACTCTCCCATCTGCCTTACTGTCTACCTTCTGACACTCTCCCATCTGCCTTACTGTCTACCTTCTGACACTCTCCAATCAGCCTTACTGTCTACCTTCTGACCCTCTCCCATCTGTCTTACTGTCTACCTTCTGACGCTCTCCTATCTGTCTGATTGTCTACCTTCTGACACTCTCCCATCTGTCTGAGTGTCTACCTTCTGACACTCTCCCATCTGTCTGAGTGTCTACCTTCTGACACTCTCCCATATGTCTGACTGTCTACCATTCTGACACTCTCCCATCTGCCTGACTGTCTACCTTCTGACCCACTCCCATCTGCCTTACTGTCTACCTTCTGACACTCTCCCATCTGTCTGACTGTCTACCTTCTGACCCTCTCCCATCTGTCTTACTGTCTTCCTTCTGACGCTCTCCCATCTGTCTTACTGTCTACCTTCTGACACTCTCCCATCAATCTGACTTTCTTCCTTCTGACACTCTCCCATCTGTCTTACTGTCTTCCTTCTGACACTCTCCCATGAATCTGACTGTCATCCTTCTGACACTCTCCCATCCGTCTGATTTTCTTCCTTCTGAAAACCTCCTATCAATCTGACTTTCTTCCTTCTGACACTCTCGAATCTGTCTGACTGTCTTCCTTCTGACACTCTCCCATCTGTCTGACTGTCTACCTTCTGACACTCTCCCATCTGTCTGACTGTCAACCTCCCGACACTCTCCCATCTGTCTTACTGTCTACCTTCTGACACTCTCCCATCTGTCTGACTGTCTACCTCCTGACACTCTCCCATTTGTCTGACTGTCTACCTTCTGACACTCTCCCATCTGTCTTTCTGTCTTCCTTCTGACACTCTCCCATCTGTCTGACTGTCTTCCTTCTGACCCTCTCCCATCCGTCTGACTTTCTTCCTTCTGACGCTCTCCCATCCGCCTTACTGTCTACCTTCTGACACTCTCCCATCTGCCTTACTGTCTACCTTCTGACACTCTCCCATCTGCCTTACTGTCTACCTACTGACCCTCTCCAATCTGTCTTACTGTCTACCTTCTGACCCTCTCCCATCTGTCTTACTGTCTACCTTCTGACACTCTCCCATCTGTCTGACTGTCTACCTTCTGACACTCTCCCATCTGTCTGACTTTCTTCCTTCTGACACTCTCCCATCTGTCTGAGTGTCTACCTTCTGACACTCTCCCATCTGTCTGACTGTCTTCCTTCTGACACTCTCCCATCTGTCTGACTGTCTACCTTCTGACACTCTCCCATCAATCTGACAGTCTTCCTTCTTATACTCTCCCATCTGTCTGACTGTCTTCCTTCTGACGCTCTCCCATCTGTCTGACTGTCTTCCTTCTGACACTCTCCCATCTGTCTGACTGTCTTCCTTCTGACACTCTCCCATCTGCCTAACTGTCTTCCGTTTGACACTCTCCCATCTGTCTGACTGTCTACCTTCTGACACTCTCCCATCTGTCTGACTGTCTTCCTTCTGACACTCCCCCATCTGTCTGACTGTCTTCCTTCTGACACTCTCCTATCCGTCTGACTTTCTTCATTCTGACACTCTCCCATCTGCCTTACTGTCTACCTTCTGACACTCTCCCATCTGCCTTACTGTCTACCTTCTGACACTCTCCCATCTGCCTTACTGTCTACCTTCTGACCCTCTCCAATCAGCCTTACTGTCTACCTTCTGACCCTCTCCCATCTGTCTGACTGTCTACCTTCTGACACTCTCCCATCTGTCTGACTGTCTTTCTTCTGACACTCTCCCATCTGTCTGACTGTCTAACTTCTGACACTTTTCCATCTGTCTGACTGTCTACCTTCTGACACTCTTCCATCTATCTAACAGTCTTCAATCTGACAATCTCCAACCTGTCTGACTGTCTTCCTTCTGACACTCTCCCATCTGTCTGACTGTCTATCTTCTTACACTCTCCTATCTGTCTGACTGTCTAACTTCTGACACTCTTCAATCTGTCTGATTGTCTACCTTCTGACACTCTTCCATCTATCTAACAGTCCTCAATCTGACAATCTCCAACCTGTCTGACTGTCTTCCTTCTGACACACTCCAATCTGTCTGACTGTCTACCTTCTGACACTCTCCCATCTGATTGGTGTTCGTCTCTTTGACGCTTTGGTTGTCGTCCTTCTGTCTGACCTTGCTGTCTCAATTCTGTCTTCACACCGCCTTCCTCCTTCCCTGGCTTCCATTGTCTATTGCTAATCACCTATCAGCGCCAATCATCTCTTGGCTTCCATTGTCTATTGCTAATCACCTATCAGAGCCAATCATATGTTGGCTTCCATTGTCTATTGCTAATCACCTATCAGCGCCAATGATCTCTTTGCTTCCATTGTATATTGCTAATCACCTATCAGCACCAATGATCTCTTGGCTTCCATTGTCTATTGCTAATCACCTATCAGCGCCAATGATCTCTTGGCTTCCATTGTCTATTGCTAATCACCTATCAGCGCCAATCATCTGTTGGCTTCCATTGTCTATTGCTAATCACCTATCAGCGCCAATCATCTGTTGGCTTCCATTGTCTATTGCTAATCACCTATCAGCGCCAATCATCTGTTGGCTTCCATTGTCTATTGCTAATCACCTATCAGCGCCAATCATCTCTTGGCTTCCATTGTCTATTGCTAATCACCTATCAGCGCCAATCATCTGTTGGCTTCCATTGTCTATTGCTAATCACCTATCAGCGCCAATGATCTCTTGGCTTCCATTGTTATGTTTCCACCTATTGATATCTTATTACTTTTGTTGTCCTTACATGTACTTATATATGCTCTCTGCCTCATAGCATCCACCTGATGAAGGAGTAAGCATTTTCTCCGAAACGTTGTGGTCCTCATAATAAATAAGTTGACATCAATAAATTCTCTTCCTTATATATTCACCACTGTTGAAAATTACGAGCTGTGATACACCCGAGGCACGTAGTCTTGTAAAACACTCCCTCCTTTATTGGCGCCCCCGATTAACAGTCACCATGCCGTCCATCTACCTCGACCACACCATTCTTATTTGAACTAACAACTCGTCCCTAGAGTTGAACACGAAGCCGGTGGACAACACGATCCCCGCCACGAGGGACGTGCAGGAAGATGCCGTGAGCGGCGTCATCCACACCTTCAACGTCCCGGACACTACCTTGTTCAACGCTCTCATCACCACCCTCACCGTCTCCCCTTCCTCCGGCGACGGAAAGTTCAAGATTGAAAGTAAGTCAAGGAACCCTATGCACAAACTGACGGCTGCTTCCACGCCCGGCCAGGGGAGAGACTCTGCGCAGGCAGTGGCTGGGATATTGTCAGCTGGAATGCCGTTGTATTGTACCCATGTTGTAGTATGTTGAGTTAAAACTCATATACGGGAATGAGTGAAACAGTAGAATAGTGAGTGAACCATTACCCCAGTGAGTGAACCACTAACCCAGGGAGTGAACCACTAGCCCAGTGAGTGAACCACTAGCCCAGTGAGTGAACAAAGAGTCCAGTGAGTGAACCACTAGCCCAGTGAGTGAACCACTAGCCCAGTGAGTGAACCACTAGCCCAGTGAGTGAACCACGAGTCCAGTGAGTGAACCACGAGTCCAGTGAGTGAACCACTAACCCAGTGAGTGAACCACTAGCCCAGTGAGTGAACCACTAGCCCAGTGAGTGAACCACTAGCCCAGTGAGTGAACCATTAGCCAGGGAGTGAACCACTAGCCTAGTGAGTGAACCACTAACCCAGTGAGTGAACCACTAGCCCAGTGAGTGAACCACGAGTCCAGTGAGTGAACCACTAGCCCAGTGAGTGAACCACGAGTCCAGTGAGTGAACCATTAGCCAGGGAGTGAACCACTAGCCCAGTGAGTGAACCACTAGCCCAGTGAGTGAATCACGAGTCCAGTGAGTGAACCATTAGCCAGGGAGTGAACCACTAGCCCAGTGAGTGAACCACTAGCCCAGTGAGTGAATCACGAGTCCAGTGAGTGAACCACTAGCCCAGTGAGTGAACCACTAGCCCAGTGAGTGAACCACGAGTCCATTGAGTGAACCACTAACCCAGTGAGTGAACCACTAGCCCAGTGAGTGAACCACTAGCCCAGTGAGTGAACCACGAGTCCAGTGAGTGAACCATTGGCCAGGGAGTGAACCACTAGCCTAGTGAGTGAACCACTAACCCAGTGAGTGAACCACTAGCCCAGTGAGTGAACCACTAGCCCAGTGAGTGAGCCACTAGCCCAGGGAGTGAACCACTAGCCCAGTGAGTGAACCACTAACCCAGTGAGTGAACCACTAGTCCAGTGAGTGAACCACTAGTCCAGTGAGTGAACCACTAGCCCAGTGAGTGAACCACTAACCCAGTGAGTGAACCACGAGTCCAGTGAGTGAACCACGAGTCCAGTGAGTGAACCACTAACCCAGTGAGTGAACCACGAGTCCAGTGAGTGAACCACGAGTCCAGTGAGTGAACTACTAGCCCAGTGAGTTAACCACGAGTCCAGTGAGTGATTAGTTTTCGTTTTATAAGTTAGATAAAACGTTTCCCTCAAAACGTTTCCCTAAAAACCATCGGACGTGTTGTATTCAACACATAACAAGATTTGGGCGGTTGGTACATTCACTACTGGTCTGTCGTTTGCATTGAGCACGTGTTGTATTTTATGATAAAAAACTAAAAGTGGAATAGCTGTTTAAAGTGTGTCTGTATTGTTCCCGTGGTATAAGGCAACCAGATTCAGGTCGTTGGGCCATTTGACTTCAATGCCGTCCCCACCTACACCCTGACGGTCCGCCTCAACGACGGCTTTAAGAGCAACAGCTACAACATCAACGTCAATATCATCGACGCCAACGACCCCCCAGCATGTACCAGAACAAGCTACATCGTTTCTGCCAACGAAAACACGGTAATATTCCTCATATATGGACTTAAGCCCGTCCTCGCAAGTGTGGAAGTAATGGATTGTTGGAAGGTGAAGTAAGCTAGTGGTCCTCACATGAACTCCTTATCTCACCAAACCCCTTATCTCACCCAAACCCCCTTTCCACCCCTCACCGTCATTCACAACCACACCCCATCATCATTCACACCACAATAATTCTCTCCCAGGAGGCACGGGTGGCCAAGTCTTAGGCGCCGCGATTCGCTGTGCAAAGTTGAGGCCCTTGGGCACGCCAGAAACCTATGATTGTGGGTTCGAATCCAAGTTCGCCCCGATTATGTTTCTAGGATTGTCAGCAACATACCTCTTCTCGTCACCGAGGTGGTAAAAGTCTGATACCTGCATCACTTCGGGCTTTCCTCCCACATTAAGCTGACACGCCGCGATATAACTGGAATGCTATTAAAAGCGGCGTTAAACCCAACTCACTCACTCATTCTCTCCCAACCTTCCTCCTCATTCTTAACAAACAACTCTTACCTAGAGGTGATCACGGAGCCAGTGGACATCCCGATCCCAACCCGAACATTATTCACACCTCATTCACACCCCACCCACACCATCATTCACACACCACCCACACCATCATTCACACCCAACCACACCATCATTCACACCCAGCCACACCATCATTCACACCCACCCACACCATCATTCACACACCATCATTCACACCCACCCACACCATCATTCACACCCACCCACACTATCATTCAGACCCACCCACACCATCATTCACACCTCAATCACACACCACCCTTCACACACCACCCACACCATCATTCACACCCACCCACATCATCATTCACACCCACCCACACCATCATTCACACCTCATTCACACACCACCCACACCATCATTCACACCCCACCCACACCATCATTCACACCCACCCACACCATCATTCACACCTCATTCACACACCATCATTCACACCTCATTCACACACCATCATTCACACCCAACCACACCATCATTCACACCCACCCACACCATCATTCACACCTCATTCACACACCATCATTCACACCCACCCACACCATCATTCACACCCCACCCACAACATCATTCACACCCCACCCACAACATCATTCACACACCATCATTCACACCCACCCACACCATCATTCACACCCACCCACACCATCATTCACACCTCATTCACACACCATCATTCACACCCACCCACAACATCATTCACACCCACCCACACCATCATTCACACCCCACCCACAACATCATTCACACCCCACCCACAACATCATTCACACCCCACCCACACCATCATTCACACTTCACCCACAACATCATTCACACCCACCCACAACATCATTCACACCCCACCCAAACCATCATTCACACCTCACCCACACCATCATTCACACCCACCATCATTCACATCCCACCACCGCAACCCCCACCACGTCCTTCACCAATTATCCCCCAACCCATCATCACTCACCCCCAAACCCTCACATCACCCCTCCCCCCACCAACCCCAACCCCACCCGACCACCTCGACCACTAATTACCCCCACCCACCATCACTCACCCCCTCCCCCACCAAACCCAACCCCACCCCGACAACATTCACCACCTTTTACCCCTCACCCACCATCACTCACCCTCCACCAACCCTATACCCCACCCTGACCACCTCCACCACTAATTACCCCCACCCACCATCACTCGGCCCCCACCAACCCACACCCCACCTCGACCACATTCACCACCATTTACCCCCCCCCCCCCCCCCCAGCATCACTCATCCCCCCGTACAACCAAACCCCAACCCACCCCGACCACCTCCACAACCATTTACCTCTCATCCACCATCACTCACCCCCCACCAACCCTGACACCCCCCCCAAAAAAATCACCCCCCCCCCCAAAAAAAAAAAATCACACCCCGACCACCTCCACCACCATTTACCTCTCATCCACCATCACTCACCCCCAACCAACCCTCACCCCATCCCGACCAACTCCACCACCATTTATCCCCCACCCACCATCAATCACCCCCCACCAACTCTATACCCCACCCCCACCAACCCTATCCCCCACCCTGACCACCTCCACTACCATTTACCCCCCACCCACCATCACTCACCCCCCACCAAACCCCAACCCACCCCGACCACCTCCACTACCATTTATCCCCCACCTAGCATCACTCACCCCCACCAACCCTATACCCCACCCTGACCACCTCCACTACCTTTTACCCCCCACCCACCATCACTCACCCCCCACCAACCCTATACCCCACCCTGACCACCTCCACCACCATTTAACCCCCACTCACAAACTTCCGTATGTTTTTTCTTCACAGATGTCCCCAATACCTATCAGTGGGTTTGGCATCACAGACGCTAGCGGACAGACCCACACCCTCGCCCTCTCAAACAACTACTTCAGCGTATCTCAGAATTCAGGTTCGACTGAAATAAGGCCAAACGTCGCCCTTGACTGCGAATCAAATACGCCCATTCCAAACCCCGTGACCATCAATATCACCGTCACGGACAACTTCGGTGCCTCTGGCACATGTGCAGTCACTATTCAGTGCAACGACACGAACGACAACAGCCCCGAGTTTGTAACATCCACGTACAGCTTCCTGGTGGCGACCGACATGGCAATCGGTGAGTGGCGTCAATAATACATAGATCCCAGAAATCACGTCAATAATAAATCACTAAATGTTCGCTGTTTTCATTGAAATTCCTGCATTCTGATTAGCCGAATTGGTCACGTGTTATTGCATTCATTTCCCTATGAATGTAAAAAATTAAGCCACGCCCACCGAGGCGCACCACTTATATTACTGCGGAATGTCGGGGAATCCTAATATTACAGTCGAGGGAATTCCCTTTCTGCTCACGTGTATCGTCATGCACAGGACATTTAGCGACTTTCATGCATATTCATTGTCCAAACTACCCTTTGAAACCGAAGACCGAGAATGAATGAAACAGTAAACGTGCAGGCTAGCTCGCCTGTTTTTTTCCCGCTCGCCTCGGTTCCACGAGTTTTATGTCTTCGGGTTTTATTTCTAACTAGAATTTTACCAACTGTGTTTTCCCGTTTTCAGGGAAATAATGTTTTAATCTGGCGGTAGCTGACCATGTTATTTGTAACAACCGCCTTCTCCCGGACATATTTCTTCTGGTTCGTTACAGTCTGACTGTTGCAGTTCTTCTCGCCTCTTGCCTTAACTGACAGGTCCAATGAACAATGTTTTGATCCTACTCTCCGTTGATTGGCTACTGACTGTGTAGGCGTGTCAACTTATGTGTATAAAGTAAACGATTAAACGATTCATGTCACGCCACAGTATGTATTCGTAGTACACCTTGTATGTTTATCAATCTCGTCATTTTTGTCTATTTTGATATATACAACTGTTTTTGGTTAAACTATTGTAGACAAAACATGTTTCACGTTGTCGAATTTAATTATAAGTTTTGACTGTGTATGCTACGCGGATTCATACAGTTTGCACATCTTTGATTTGACGAGGTGGGGATTTGCAAAGCATGTGCACCGCGAATTCGTTGTCAACAGACATTTTCACAATCTTTTCATGTTTTTAATCAAGGTGCTCACGTGATTTGATGCACTTCGCGATGTAAGACCCGTTTTATCACAATATAGATCTGGATTGTCGATCAGATCGTCTTGACTTGGCGCCGGCAAGGGTGGAAACTGGACTTTTATAGTCAGTTAACTCTCTTGCCCTGGGAAAATGATGTCAGGGTAGAACATCATGACACTGGCGGGCGGTGTTACCCCTCACTGTACATCATGACACTGGCGGGCGGTGTTACCCCTCACTGTACATCATGACACTGGCGGGCGGTGTTACCCCTCACTGTACATCGTGACACTGGCGGGCGGTGTTACCCCTCACTGTACATCGTGACACTGACGGGCGGTGTTACCCCTTACTGTACATCATGACACTGGCGGGCGGTGTTACCCCTCACTGTACATCATGACACTGGCGGGCGGTGTTACCCCTCACTGTACATCATGACACTGGCGGGCGGTGTTACCCCTCACTGTACATCATGACACTGGCGGGCGGTGTTACCCCTCACTGTACATCATGACACTGGCGGGCGGTGTTACCCCTCACTGTACATCATGACACTGACGGGCGTTGTTACCCCTCACTGTACATCATGACACTGGCGGGCGGTGTTACCCCTTACTGTACATCATGACACTGGCTGGCGGTGTTACCCCTCACTGTACATCATGACACTGGCGGGCGGTGTTACCGCTCACTGTACATCATGACACTGGCGGGCGGTGTTACCCCTCACTGTACATCATGACACTGGCGGGCGGTGTTACCCCTCACTGTACATCATGACACTGACGGGCGATGTTACCCCTCACTGTACATCATGGCACTGGCGGGCGGTGTTACCCCTCACTGTACATCATGACACTGGCGGGCGGTGTTACCCCTCACTGTACATCATGACACTGGCGGGCGGTGTTACCCCTCACTGTACATCATGACACTGGCGGGCGGTGTTACCCCTCACTGTACATCATGACACTGGCGGGCGGTGTTACGCCTCACTTTACATCATGACACTGGCGGGCGGTGTTACCCCTCACTGTACATCATGACACTGGCGGGCGGTGTTACCCCTCACTGTACATCATGACACTGGCGGGCGGTGTTACGCCTCACTGTACATCGTGACACTGGCGGGCGGTGTTACCCCTTACTGTACATCATGACACTGGCGGGCGGTGTTACCCCTCACTGTACATCATGACAATGGCGGGCGGTGTTACGCCTCACTGTACATCATGACACTGGCGGGCGGTGTTACCCCTCACTGTACATCATGACACTGGCGGGCGGTGTTACCCCTCACTGTACATCATGACACTGGCGGGCGGTGTTACCCCTCACTGTACATCATGACACTGGCGGGCGGTGTTACCCCTCACTGTACATCATGACACTGGCGGGCGGTGTTACCCCTCACTGTACATCATGACACTGGCGGGCGGTGTTACCCCTCACTGTACATCATGACACTGACGGGCGGTGTTACCCCTCACTGTACATCATGACACTTGCTGGCGGTGTTACCCCTCACTGTACATCATGACACTGGTGGGCGGTGTTACCCCCCACTGTACATCATGACACTGCCGGGCGGTGTTACCCCTCACTGTACATCATGACACTGGCGGGCGGTGTTACCCCTCACTGTACATCATGACACTGGCGGGCGGTGTTACCCCTCACTGTACATCATGACACTGGCGGGCGGTGTTACCCCTTACTGTACATCATGACACCGGCGGGCGGTGTTACCCCTCACTGTACATCATGACACTGGCGGGCGGTGTTACCCCTCACTATACATCCTCCTCTGTTGACAGGGACGTCTATCGGCAAGGTCAGTGCTACTGACAAGGACGTTACCACCACGACTAACGGTAAGGTGGTCTACAGTCTGCAGCTGTCAAACCCAGTAGAAATTGTAAAGGTGCTTCCGAACGGGGACGTTTTGATCAACAAAGACATCTCCGGCATGTACAGCAACTCCGTGTCCGGGGAGATACTGGCCACAGATCAAGGGGCTGGAGCTAACCAGGGCACTGCGACGTTCTTGTTCAAATGGGTAGGTCATCTGTTAGCGGGGCACCTCAGACATCCAGGTCATCTGTTACTATGCCACCAAATACTTCCAGGTCATCTGTTAGCGGGACATCTCAGACATACATGTCATCTGTTAGCGGGGCTCCTCAGACATACAGGTCATCTGTTACTATTCCACCAAATACTTCCAGGTCATCTGTTAGCGGGACATCTCAGACATACATGTCATCTATTACCGGGCACCTCAGACATACAGGTCATCTGTTACTGTGCCACCAAATACTTCCAGGTCATCTGTTAGCGGGACATCTCAGACATACAGGTAATCTATTAGCGGACACCTCAGACATACAGGTCGTCTGTTAGCGGGGCACCTCAGACATCCAGGTTATTTGTTAGCGGGGCACCTCAGACATACAGGTCGTCTGTTAGCGGGGCACATCAGATATAGAGGTCATATGTTAGCGGGGCACCTCAGGCATAAAGGTCATCTGTTACTATGCCACCAAATACATCCAGGTCATCTGTTAGCGGGACATCTCAGACATACAGGTCATCTGTTACTATGCCACCAAAAACATCCAGGTCATCTGTTAGCGGGACATCTCAGACATACAGGTCATCTATTAGCGGACACCTCAGACATACAGGTCGTCTGTTAGCGGGGCACCTCAGACATCCAGATCATCCATTAGCAAGGCACCTCAGATATAGAGGTCATATGTTAGCGGGACACCTCAGACATACAGGTCATCTGTTAGCGGGCACCTCAGACATACAGGTCATCTGTTAGCGGGCACCTCAGACATACAGGTCATCTGTTAGCGGGCACCTCAGACATACAGGTCATATGTTAGCGGGCACCTCAGACATACAGGTCATCTGTTAGCAAGGCACCTCAGACATACAGGTCATCTGTTAGCAGGGCACCTCAGACATAGAGGTCATATGTTAGCAGGGCACCTCAGACATACAGGTCGTCTGTTACTATGCCAACAAATACATCCAGGTCATCTGTTAGCGGGGCACCTTAGATGTATAGTTAATATGTTACTATGCCACCAAATACATCCAGGTTATCTGTTAGCGGGACATCTCAGACATCCAGGTCATCTATTAGCGGGGCACCTCGGACATACAGGTCGTCTGTTAGCGGGGCACCTCAGACATACAGGTCATCTCTTAGCGGGCACCTCAGACATACAGGTCGTCTGCCAGCGGGGCACCTCATACATCCAGGTCATCTGTTAGCGGGGCACCTCAGACATACAGGTCATCTGTTAGCGGGGCACCTCAGACATACAGGTCATCTCTTAGCGGGCACCTCAGACATACAGGTCATCTCTTAGCGGGGCACCTCATACATCCAGGTCATCTCTTAGCGGGGCACCTCAGACATACAGGTCATCTCTTAGCGGGGCACCTCAGACATACAGGTCATCTCTTAGCGGGCACCTCAGACATACAGGTCGTCTGCCAGCGGGGCAACTCGTACATCCAGGTCATCTGCTAGCGGAGAACCTCAGATATAGAGGTCATCTGTTAGCAAGGCACCTCAGATATAGAGGTCATATGTTAGCAGGGCACCTCAGACATACAGGTCGTCTGCCAGCGGGGCACCTCATACACCCAGGTCATCTGTTAGCGGGGCACCTCAGACATACAGGTCATCTGTTAGCAAGGCACCTCAGATATAGAGGTCATATGTTAGCAGGGCACCTCAGACATACAGGTCATCTGTTACTGTGCCAACAAATACATCCAGGTCATCTGTTAGCGGGGCATCTCAGACATACAGGTCATCTATTAGCGGACACCTCAGACATACATGTCGTCTGTTAGCGGGGCACCTCAGATATAGAGGTCATATGTTAGCGGGACACCTCAGACATCCAGGTCGTCTGTTAGCGGGACACCTCAGACATCAATGTCAACTGTTAGGGGGGCACCTCAGATATAGAGGTCATATGTTAGCGGGACATCTCAGACATCCAGGTCATCTGTTAGCGGGACACCTCAGACATACATGTCAACTGTTAGCGGGCACCTCAGACATACAGGTCGTCTGTTAGCGGGGCACCTCAGACATCCAGGTCGTCTATTACTATGCCAACAAGTACATCCAGGTCATCCGTTAGCAAGGCACCTAAGACATACAGGTCATCTGTTAGCGGGCACCTCAGACATACAGGTCATCTGTTAGCGGGCACCTCAGACATACAGGTCATCTGTTAGCAAGGCACCTCAGACTTCCAGGTCGTCTGTTAGCGGGGCACCTCAGACATCAATGTCAACTGTTAGCGGGGCACCTCAGATATAGAGGTCATATGTTAGCGGGACATCTCAGACATACAGGTCATCCGTTAGCAAGGCACCTCAGATATAGAGGTCATATGTTGGTGGGGCACCTCAGATATAGAGGTCATATGTTAGCAGGGCACCTCAGACATACAGGTCATCTGTTAGCGGGCACCTCAGACATACAGGTCATCTGTTAGCGGGCACCTCAGACATACAGGTCATCTGTTAGCAAGGCACCTCAGACTTCCAGGTCGTCTGTTAGCGGGGCACCTCAGACATCAATGTCAACTGTTAGCGGGGCACCTCAGATATAGAGGTCATATGTTAGCGGGACATCTCAGACATCCAGGTCATCTGTTAGCGGGACACCTCAGACATACATGTCAACTGTTAGCGGGCACCTCAGACATACAGGTCGTCTGTTAGCGGGGCACCTCAGACATCAATGTCAACTGTTAGCGGGGCACCTCAGACATCCAGGTCACCTGTTAGCGGGGCACCTCAGACATCCAGGTCATCTGTTAGCGGGGCACCTCAGACATCCAGGTCATCTGTTAGCGGGCACCTCAGATATAGAGGTCATATGTTAGCAGGGCACCTCAGACATACATGTCGTCTATCACTATGCCAACAAATACATCCAGGTCATCTGTTAGCGGGGCACCTTAGATGTATAGGTCATCTGTTACTATCCCACCAAATACATCCAGGTTAACTGTTAGCGGAACATCTCAGACATACAGGTCATCTATTAGCGGGGCACCTCAGACATACAGGTCGTCTGTTAGCGGGGCACCTCAGACATACAGGTCATCTCTTAGCGGGCACCTCAGACATACAGGTCGTCTGCCAACGGGGCATCTCAGACATACAGGCAGTCTGTTAGCGGGGCACCTCAGACATACAGGTCATCTGTTAGCAAGGCACCTCAGATATAGAGGTCATATGTTAGCGGGGCACCTCAGACATACAGGTCATCTGTTAGCGGGCACCTCAGACATACAGGTCGTCTGTTAGCGGGGCACCTCAGACATCCAGGTCGTCTATTACTATGCCAACAAGTACATCCAGGTCATCCGTTAGCAAGGCACCTCAGATATAGAGGTCATATGTTGGCAGGGCACCTCAGACATACAGGTCATCTGTTAGCGGGCACCTCAGACATACAGGTCATCTGTTAGCGGGCACCTCAGACATACAGGTCATCTGTTAGCGGGCACCTCAGACATACAGGTAGTCTATTACTATGCCAACAAATACATCCAGGTCATCCGTTAGCAAGGCACCTCAGATATAGAGGTCATATGTTAGCGGGGCACCTCAGACATACAGGTTATCTGTAAGCGGGCACCTCAGACATACAGGTCGTCTGTTAGCGGGGCACCTCAGACATCAATGTCATATGTTAGCGGGCACCTCAGACATACAGGTCATCTGTTAGCGGGCACCTCAGACATACAGGTCGTCTGTTAGCGGGGAACCTTAGACATACAGGTCATATGTTAGCGGGGCACCTCAGACATACAGGTCGTCTGTTAGCGGGGCACCTCAAACATCCAGGTCATCTGTTAGCGGGCACCTCAGACATCCAGGTCATCTATGAGCAGGGCACCTCAACATCCAGGTCGTCTATTACTATGCCAACAAATACATCCAGGTCAGCCGTTAGCAAGGCACCTCAGACATCCAGGTCATCCGTGAGCAGGGCACCTCAGACATACAGGTCATCCGTTAGCAAGGCACCTCAGATATAGAGGTCATATGTTGGTGGGGCACCTCAGACATACAGGTCATCTGTTAGCGGGCACCTCAGACATACAGGTCATCCGTTAGCAAGGCACCTCAGATATAGAGGTCATATGTTGGTGGGGCACCTCAGACATACAGGTCATCTGTTAGCGGGCACCTCAGACATCCAGGTCATATGTTAGCGGGGCACCTCAGACATACAGTTCATCTGTTACTATGCCAACAAAGACATCCAGGTCAGCCGTTAGCAAGGCACCTCAGACATCCAGGTCATCCGTGAGCAGGGCACCTCAGACATACAGGTCATCCGTTAGCAAGGCACCTCAGATATAGAGGTCATATGTTGGTGGGGCACCTCAGACATACAGGTCATTTGTTAGCGGGCACCTCAGACATACAGGTCATCCTTTAGCAGGGCACCTCAGATAAAGAGGTCATATGTTAGCGGGGCACCTCAGACATACAGGTCATCTGTTACTATGCCAACAAAGACATCCAGGTCATCTATAAGCGGGGCACCTTAGACGTACAGGTCATCTGTTACTATGCCACCAAAGACATCCAGGTCATCTGTGTGCATGGGGCACGGGTGGCCCAGTCGTCTAAGGCGCCGCAATTCGCAGTGCAGAGTTGCGCCTCTTGGGCACGCCAGAAACCTATGATTGTGGGTTCGAATCCCAGTTCGCCCCGATTATGTTTCTAGGTTTGTCAGCACCATACACGTGCTCGTCGGTTTCACCGAAGTGGTAAACGTCTGAGACCTGCATCAGACGGTAGAAATACACGTCGTATATCTAGAGATATTGGCCAACAAACAACAAACGTGTCCTATAGACGCACCGGTTAACACACAGGTCCTATAGAGGTATCGGGTTACACACAGGTCCTACAGAGGTATCGGGTTACACACAGGTCCTATAAAGGTATCGGGTTACACAAGGTCCTACAGAGGTTTCGGGTTACACACAGGTCCTATAAAGGCATCGGGTTATACAAGGTCCTAAAGAGGTATCGGTTTACACACAGGTCCTAAAGAGGTATCGGGTTACACACAGGTCCTGTATCTAGAGGTATCGGTTTACACACAGGTCCTAAAGAGGTATCGGGTTACACACATGTCCTGTATCTAGAGGTATCGGGTTACACACAGGTCCTATAAAGGTATCGGGTTACACACAGGTCCTAAAGAGGTATCGGGTTACACACAGGTCCTATAAAGGTATCGGGTAACACAAGGTCCTACAGAGGTTTCGGGTTACACACAGGTCCTATAAAGGCATCGGGTTATACAAGGTCCTAAAGAGGTATCGGTTTACACACAGGTCCTAAAGAGGTATCGGGTTACACACAGGTCCTGTATCTAGAGGTATTGGTTTACACACAGGTCCTAAAGAGGTATCGGGTTACACACATGTCCTGTATCTAGAGGTATCGGGTTACACACAGGTCCTATAAAGGTATCGGGTTACACACAGGTCCTAAAGAGGTATCGGGTTACACACAGGTCCTGTATCTAGAGGTATCGGGTTAAACACAGGTCCTATAAAGTTATCGGGTAACACAAGGTCCTATAAAGTATCGGGTTACACACAGGTCCTAAAGAGGTATCGGGTTACACACAGGCCCTGTATCTAGAGGTATCGGTTTACACACAGGTCCTAAAGAGGTATCGGGTTCCACACAGGTCCTGTATCTAGAGGTATCGGGTTACACACAGGTCCTATAAAGGTATCGGGTAACACAAGGTCCTATAAAGGTATCGGGTTACACACAGGCCCTGTATCTAGAGGTATCGGTTTACACACAGGTCCTAAAGAGGTATCGGGTTACACACAGGTCCTATATCTAGAGGTATCGGTTTACACACAGGTCCTATAAAGGTATCGGGTAACACAAGGTCCTATAAAGTATCAGGTTACACACAGGTCCTAAAGAGGTATCGGGTTACACACAGGTCCTGTATCTAGAGGTATCGGGTTACACACAGGTCCTATGAAGGTATCGGGTAACACAAGGTCCTATAAAGGTATCGGGTTTCACACAGGTCCTAAAGAGGTATCGGGTTACACACAGGTCCTGTATCTAGTGGTATCGGGTTACACACAGGTCCTATAAAGGTATCGGGTTACACAAGGTCCTATAAAGTATCGGGTTACACACAGGTCCTATAGAGGTATCGGGTTACACACAGGTCCTATAAAGGTATCGGGTTACACAAGGTCCTATAAAGGTATCGGGTTACACACAGGTCCTATAAAAGCATCAGGTTACACACAGGTCCTATAAAGGTATCGGGTAACACAAGGTCCTATAAAGTATCAGGTTACACACAGGTCCTAAAGAGGTATCGGGTTACACACAGGTCCTGTATCTAGAGGTATCGGGTTACACACAGGTCCTATGAAGGTATCGGGTAACACAAGGTCCTATAAAGGTATCGGGTTACACACAGGTCCTAAAGAGGTATCGGGTTACACACAGGTCCTGTATCTAGTGGTATCGGGTTACACACAGGTCCTATAAAGGTATCGGGTTACACAAGGTCCTATAAAGTATCGGGTTACACACAGGTCCTATAGAGGTATCGGGTTACACACAGGTCCTATAAAGGTATCGGGTTACACAAGGTCCTATAAAGGTATTGGGTTACACACAGGTCCTATAAAAGCATCAGGTTACACACAGGTCCTATAAAGGTATTGGGTTACACACAGGTCCTATAAAGGTATCGGTCTACACACAGGTCCTATAGAGGTACCGTTACACATACAGATCGTACATGTGTCAGTCACTAGAACACAGAAACATATTTTGTGTCCGATGTCTTTTTCAATTACAGTCAATAGAACATTTGCAAAATCACTATAATTATATACATGTAAAATATTCAATCAGAATCTATTTCTTCTGTTACAAAATCCACATGCTGTTTCAGAACGAGGCTCCTGATATCAGTAATCTCCCGGACTCGGGTAGTCTATCGGAAGACACGACTGGGGAGTCGCTCATCTTGGAACTCACCACAACTGACCCGGAAACAGACGCCGTCACGTGTCGCTCAGGCACTATCAGCCTGCCCGGGGCTCCTTTCACAGTGAAGCTCGTCTCTGGCAGTAAGTAGAAGCAGCACACAGGGTGGAAATATTTCTCTCTTTTGTGCTGTGTGAAATTACTATACACCCCAACAATTCGACAACAGACCGAATATGATGAGGAAATACATGTACATCATAGACATGGTGGTGAGGTCAAATAATGTGGTTTTGTTTTACGAGTTTACACATCATTTCTTGTTTATGACATTAACTGTTTGGAGAAATTCATGAATGCCAAGCGCGATACTAGAATTATTCCATATATCTTGTGGCATTTTAATCTTGATAAAGAAATCTAACGGCCAGAACTACGAAGCCAACTCTTGTACGTCATGTCTGTCAAGTATTGACAAATGGCTGAAATCAAGAGATTACAAAAACCCATGGGTACAGGACCTTGAGTCTTCGCAATGTCGCCAAGTTCTCTCAAACAAGCAGACTAGGACCTTTACTTAAGAGTCGAAAGTCTGTCTAATGACGAAACCAACATGAAGTTTGAAGCACTTTGGTATCCGAAGTCGGAAGCCTCATCACTTCATGACTTGGGAAAATCGACTCTTATAGAAGAGTTGGTTACAATGAAACTTTCAGATAAAGACACGCGATGGCAATGCCATGAGAAATGTCCGTGACCTTGCTCCCTGTGCATATATATATCTCCTGGGCTACAACCACTGGTCCGAGTAGGTTATGATATATCTCCTTGGCTACAACCACTGGTCCGAGTAGGTTATGATATATCTCCTTGGCTACAACCACTGGTCCGAGTAGGTTATGATATATCTCCTTGGCTACAACCACTGGTCCGAGTAGGTTATGATATATCTCCTTGGCTACAACCACTGGTCCGAGTATGTAATGATATATCTCCCAGGTTACAACCACTGGTCCGAGTATGTTATGATATATCTCCTTGGCTACAACCACTGGTCCGAGTAGGTTATGATATATCTCCTTGGCTACAACCACTGGTCCGAGTAGGTTATGATATATCTCCTTGGCTACAACCACTGGTCCGAGTATGTAATGATATATCTCCCAGGTTACAACCACTGGTCCGAGTATGTTATGATATATCTCCTTGGCTACAACCACTGGTCCGAGTAGGTTATGATATATCTCCTTGGCTACAACCACTGGTCCGAGTAGGTTATGATATATCTCCTTGGCTACAACCACTGGTCCGAGTATGTAATGATATATCTCCCAGGTTACAACCACTGGTCCGAGTATGTTATGATATATCTCCTTGGCTACAACCACTGGTCCGAGTAGGTTATGATATATCTCCTTGGCTACAACCACTGGTCCGAGTAGGTTATGATATATCTCCTTGGCTACAACCACTGGTCCGAGTACGTTATGATATATCTCCTTGGCTACAACCACTGGTCCGAGTAGGTTATGATATATCTCCTTGGTTACAGCTATTGGTCTGAGTATGTAATGATATATCTCCTTGGCTACAACCACTGGTCCGAGTATGTTATGATATATCTCCTTGGTTACAGCTATTGGTCTGAGTATGTAATGATATATCTCCTTGGCTACAACCACTGGTCCGAGTAGGTTATGATATATCTCCTTGGCTACAACCACTGGTCCGAGTAGGTTATGATATATCTCCTTGGTTACAGCTATTGGTCTGAGTATGTAATGATATATCTCCTTGGCTACAACCACTGGTCCGAGTATGTTATGATATATCTCCTTGGTTACAGCTATTGGTCTGAGTATGTAATGATATATCTCCTTGGCTACAACCACTGGTCCGAGTAGGTTATGATATATCTCCTTGGCTACAACCACTGGTCCGAGTAGGTTATGATATATCTCCTTGGCTACAACCACTGGTCCGAGTAGGTTATGATATATCTCCTTGGCTACAACCACTGGTCCGAGTAGGTTATGATATATCTCCTTGGTTACAGCTATTGGTCTGAGTATGTAATGATATATCTCCTTGGCTACAACCACTGGTCCGAGTATGTTATGATATATCTCCTTGGTTACAGCTATTGGTCTGAGTATGTAATGATATATCTCCTTGGCTACAACCACTGGTCCGAGTATGTTATGATATATCTCCTTGGCTACAACCACTGGTCCGAGTAGGTTATGATATATCTCCTTGGTTACAGCTATTGGTCTGAGTATGTAATGATATATCTCCTTGGCTACAACCACTGGTCCGAGTATGTTATGATATATCTCCTTGGTTACAGCTATTGGTCTGAGTATGTAATGATATATCTCCTTGGCTACAACCACTGGTCCGAGTATGTTTTGATATATCTCCCTGGTTACAGCTATTGGTCCCAGTGTGTAATGTTATATCTCTTTGGCTACAACCATTGGTCCGAGTATGTTATGATATATCTCCTTGGTTACAGCCATTGGTCCCAGTGTGTAATGATATATTTCCCTGGCTACAACCACTGGTCCGAGTATGTTATGATATATCTCCTTGGCTACAACCACTGGTCCGAGTATGTACTTATATATCACCCTGCTTACAACAATTGGTCCCAGTATGTACTTATATATCACCCTGCTTACAACAATTGGTCCCAGTATGTACTTATATATCACCCTGCTTACAACAATTGGTCCCAGTATGTACTTATATATCACCCTGCTTACAACAATTGGTCCCAGTATGTAATGATGTATCTCCCTGCTTACAACAATTGGTCCCAGTATGTACTTATATATCACCCTGCTTACAACAATTGGTCCCAGTATGTAATGATGTATCTCCCTGCTTACAACAATTGGTCCCAGTATGTACTTATATATCACCCTGCTTAAAACAATTGGTCCCAGTATGTACTTATATATCACCCTGGTTACAACAATTGGTCCCAGTATGTACTTATGTATCACCCTGCTTAAAACAATTGGTCCCAGTATGTAATGATGTATCTCCCTGGTTACAACAATTGGTCCCAGTATGTAATGATGTATCTCCCTGCTTACAACAATTGGTCCCAGTATGTAATGATGTATCTCCCTGCTTACAACAATTGGTCCAAGTATGTAATGATGTATCTCCCTGGTTACAGCAACAGGTCCCTCTGCTCAACGTATGCGTGTATTTTTGTACAGAATTTGGTATTTACTACACTGGAAATGCGCCGCTTAGTTCACTTCCGGTAAAAAACATTCAGATCGGGGTTATTTGCGAAGATGGAAAAGGTGGCTCCATTGAAAAGAACTATGACCTTCAACTCAATCCCAACGAAAGACCACAAGCATCATGCTCACCGACTGGTAAGTAGGAAACAAACAGATTGAAGGAGATGGGGTGTGGTGTGGTGTTTATATGTAGAGACAGATTGAGGGAGGTGTGGTGTGATGTGGTGGTTATATGGAGAGACAGGTTGAGGGAGGTGTAGTGTGGTTTGGATAGGTGTTTATATAAGGAGACAGATTGTGGGAGGTGAGGTGTGGTTTGGTGTGATGGTTATATGGAGAGACAGGTTGAGGGAGGTGTAGTGTGGTTTGGATAGGTGTTTATATAAGGAGACAGATTGTGGGAGGTGAGGTGTGGTTTGGTGTGATGGTTATATGGAGAGACAGATTGAAGGAGGTGAGGTCTGGTTTAGTGTGGTGTTTATATGGAGAGACAGATTGAGGGAGGTGTGATATGATGGTTATATGGAGAGACAGATTGAGGGAGGTGTGGTGTGGTGGTTATACGGAGAGACAGATTGAGGGAGGTGAGGTGAGGTGTGGTGGTTATATGGAGAGACAGATTGAGGGAGGTGTGGTGTGTTGTGGTGTTTATATAAGGAGACGGATTAAGTGAGGTGAGGTGTGGTGTGGTGTGGTGTTTATATGGAGAGACAGATTGAGGGAGGTGTGGTGTGGTGGTTATACGGAGAGACAGATTGAGGGAGGTGTGATGTGATGGTTATATGGAGAGACAGATTGAGGGAGGTGTGGTGTGGTGTTTATACGGAGAGACAGATTGAGGGAGGTGTGATGTGGTGTGGTGGTTATATGGAGAGACAGATTTAGGGAGGTGTGATGTGATGGTTATATGGAGAGACAGATTGAGGGAGGTGTGGTGTGGTGTTTATACGGAGAGACAGATTGAGGGAGGTGTGATGTGGTGTGGTGGTTATATGGAGAGACAGATTGAGGGAGGTGTGGTGTGGTGGTTATATGGAGAGACAGATTGAGGGAGGTGTGGTGTGGTGGTTATACGGAGAGACAGATCGAGGGAGGTGTGGTGTGGTGGTTATATGGAGAGACAGATTGAGGGAGGTGTGGTGTGGTGGTTACACGGAGAGACAGATTGAGAGAGGTGTGTTGTGGTGGTTATACGGAGAGACAGATTGAGAGATGTGTGGTGTGTTGTGGTGGTTATAAGGAGAGACAGATTGAGGGAGGTGTGGTGTGGTGGTTATATGGAGAGACAGATTGAGAGAGGTGTGGTGTGGTGGTTATATGGAGAGACAGATCGAGGGAGGTGTGGTGTGGTGGTTATACGGAGAGACAGATTGAGAGATGTGTGGTGTGTTGTGGTGGTTATATGGAGAGACAGATTGAGGGAGGTGTGGCGTGGTGGTTATACGGAGAGACAGATCGAGGGGGGTGTGATGTGATGGTTATATGGAGAGACAGATTGATGGAAGTGAGGTGAGATGTGGTGTTTATATCGAGAGACAGATTTAGGGAGCTGTGGTCTGATGGTTATATGAAGAGACAGATTGAATGAGGTGAGGTGAGATGTGGTGGTTATATGAAGAGACAGATTGAGGGAGGTGAGGTGTGGTTGGGAGTGGTGTTTATATACATAGACAGATTGCGGGAGGTGTGATATGATGGTTATATGGAGAGACAGATTGAGGGAGGTGTGGTGTGATGGTTATAGGGAGAGACAGATTGGGGGAGGTGAGGTGAGGTGTGGTGGTTATATGGAGAGACAGATTGAGGGAGGTGAGGTGTGGTTTGGAGTGGTGTTTATATGGAGAGACAGATTGAGGGAGGTGGGATGTGATGGTTATGTGGAGAGACAGATTGAGGGAGGTGTGATGTGATGGTTATATGGAGATACAGATTGAAACATCTGTGGTGTGGTGTGGTGGTTATATGGAGAGACAGATTGAGAGATGTGAGGTGTGGTGTGATGTGGTGGTTATATGGAGAGACATATTGAGAGATGTGAGGTGTGGTGTGGTGGTTATATGGAGAGACAGATTGAGAGATGTGAGGTGTGGAGTGACGTGATGGTTATATGAAGAGACAGATTGAGGGAGGTGTGGTGTGGTGGTTATATGGAGAGACAGATTGAGGGAGGTGAGGTGTGATGTGGTGGTTATATGGAGAGACAGATTGAGGGAGGTGAGGTGAGGTGTGGTGGTTATATGGAGAGACAGATTGAGGGAGGTGTAGTGTGATGTGGTGGTTATATGGAGAGACAGATTGAGGGAGGTGAGGTGTGATGTGGTGGTTATATGGAGAGACAGATTGAGGGAGGTGAGGTGAGGTGTGGTGGTTATATGGAGAGACAGATTGAGGGATGTGTAGTGTGATGGTTATGTGGAGAGATAGATTGAGGGAGGTGTGGTGTGATGGTTATATGGAGAGACAGATTGATGGAGGTGAGGTGAGATGTGGTTGTTATATGGAGAGACAGATTTAGGGAGCTGTGGTCTGATGGTTATATGGAGAGATAGATTGAGGGAGGTGTGGTGTGATGGTTATATGGAGAGACAGATTGATGGAGGTGAGGTGAGATGTGATGGTTATATGGAGAGACAGATTTAGGGAGGTGTGGTGTGATGGTTATATGGAGAGACAGATTGAAGGAGGTGAGGTGAGATGTGGTGGTTATATGAAGAGACAGATTTAGGGAGGTGAGGTCAGGTGTGGTGTCTGGGTTATTTGGAGAGACAGATTCAGGGCGGTGTGGTGTGGTGTGGTGTGGTGTTGTGTGGTGTGGTGTTGTGTGGTGTGGTGTTGTGTGGTGTGGTGTTGTGTGGTGTGGGGTGGTGTGGGGTGGTGTGGGGTGGTGTGGGGTGGTGTGGTGTTTATATGGAGAGACAGATTGAGGGAGGTGTGGTGTGGTTTGGTGTTTATATGGAGAGACAGATTGAGGGAGGTGAGGTGAGGTGTGGTGGTTATATGGAGAGACAGATTGAAGGAGGTGTGATGTAATGGTTATATGGAGAGACAGATTGAGGGAGGTGAGGTCTGGTTTGGTGTAGTGTTTATATGGAGAGACAGATTGAGGCAGGTGAGGTCTGGTTTGGTGTGATGGTTATGTGGAGAGACAGATTGAGGGAGGTGAGGTCTGGTTTGGTGTGGTGTTTATATGTAGAGAAAGATTGAGGGAGGTGTGGTGTGGTGGTTATACGGAGAGACAGATTGAGGGAGGTGAGGTGAGGTGTGGTGGTTATATGGAGAGACAGATTGAGGGAGGTGAGGTGAGGTGTGGTGGTTATACGGAGAGACAGATTGAGGAGGTGAGGTGAGGTGTGGTGGTTATACGGAGAGACAGATTGAGGAGGTGAGGTGAGGTGTGGTGGTTATATGGAGAGACAGATTGAGAGAGGTGTGGTGTGGTGGTTATAGGGAGAGACAGATTGAGGGAGATGAGGTGAGATGTGGTGGTTATAGGGAGAGATAGATTGAGGGAGGTGTGGTGTGGTGTGATGGTTATATGTAGAGACAGATTGTGGGAGGTGTGGTGAGGTGAGGTGGTTATATGGAAAGACAGATTGAGGGAGGTGTGGTGTGGTGTGGTGGTTATATGGAGAGACAGATTGAGGGAGGTGTGGTGTGGTGTGGTGGTTATAGGGAGAGACAGATTGAGGGAGGTGAGGTGAGATGTGGTGGTTATATGGAGGGACAGATTGAGGGAGGTGTGGTGAGGTGAGGTGGTTATATGGACAGACAGATTGAGGGAGGTGTGGTGTGATGTGATAGTTATATTGAGAGACACATTGAGGGAGGTGAGGTCTGGTTTGGTGTGGTGTTTATATGTAAAGAAAGATTGAGGGAGGTGTGGTGTGGTGGTTATAGGAAGAGACAGATCGAGGGAGGTGTGGTGTGGTGGTTATAGGGAGAGACAGGTTGAGGGAGGTGAGGTGAGATGTGGTGGTTGTATGGAGAGACAGATTGAGGAGGTGAGGTGAGGTGTGGTGGTTATATGGAGAGACAGATTGAGAGAGGTGTGGTGTGGTGTGGTGGTTATATGGAGAGACAGATTGAGGGAGGTGAGGTGTGGTTTGGAGTGGTGTTTACATACAGAGACAGATTGAGGGAGGTGTGATGTGATGGTTATATGGAGAGACAGATTGAGGGAGGTGTGGTGTTGTGGTTATATTGAGATACAGATTGAAAGATGTGTGGTGTGGTGTGGTGTGGTGTGGTGTGGTGTGGTGTGGGGTGGTGTGGGGTGGTGTGGGGTGGGGTGGGGTGGTGTGGGGTGGTGTGGTGTTTATATGGAAAGACAGATTGAGGGAGGTGTGGTGTGGTTTGGTGTTTATATGGAGAGACAGAATGAGGGAGGTGTGGTGTGGTGTGGTGGTTATATGGAGAGACAGATTGAGGGAGGTGAGGTGTGGTTTGGAGTGGTGTTTATATACAGAGACAGATTGAGGGAGGTGTGATGTGATGGTTATATGGAGAGACAGATTGAGGGAGGTGTGGTGTGGTGGTTATATTGAGATACAGATTGGAAGATGTGTGGTGTGGTGTGGTGGTTATACGGAGAGACAGATTGAGGGAGGTGGGATGTGATGGTTATATGGAGAGACAGATTGAGGGAGGTGTGATGTGATGGTTATATTGAGATACAGATTGAAAGATGTGTGGTGTGGTGTGGTGGTTATATGGAGAGACAGATTGAGGGAGGTGAGGTGAGGTGTGGTGGTTATATGGAGAGACAGATTGAGGGAGGGGTGGTGAGGTGAGGTGGTTATATGTACAGACAGATTGAGGGAGGTGTGGTGTGATGTGATAGTTATATGGAGAGACAGATTGAGGGAGGTGTGGAGTGGTGTGGTGGTTATATGGAGAGACAGATTGAGAGAGGTGTGGTGTGGTGGTTATAGGGTGAGACAGATCGAGGGAGGTGTGGTGTGGTGGTTATATGGAGAGACAGGTTGAGGGAGGTGAGGTGAGATGTGGTGGTTATTAGGAGAGACAAATTGAGGAGGTGATGTGAGGTGTGATGGTTATATGGAGAGACAGATTGAGAGAGGTGTGGTGTGGTGGTTATATGGAGAGACAGATTGAGGGAGGTGAGGTGTGGTTTGGAGTGGTGTTTATATACAGAGACAGATTGAGGGAGGTGTGATGTGATGGTTATATGGAGAGACAGATTGAGGGAGGTGTGGTGTGGTGGTTATATTGAGATACAGATTGAAAGATGTGTGGTGTGGTGTGGTGTGGTGGTTATATGGAGAGACAGGTTGAGGGAGGTGAGGTGTGGAGTGATGTGATGGTTATATGAAGAGACAGATTGAGGGAGGTGTGGTTAGTGTGTTGTGTCGGTTATATGAATAGACAGATTGATTGAGGTGTGGTGTGATGGTTATATGGAGAGACAGATTGAGGGAGGTGAGGTGAGATGTGGTGGTTATATGAAGAGACAGATTCAGGGAGCTGTGGTGTGGTGTGGTGTGGTGTGGGTGTGGTGTGGTTTGGTGTGGTGTGGTGTGGTGTGGTGTGGTGTGGTGTGGTGTGGTGTGGTGTGGTGTGGTGTGGTGTGGTGTGGTGTGGTGTGGTGTGGTGTGGTGTGGTGTGTTGTGGTGTGGTGTGGTGTGGTGTGGTGTGCTGGTTATATGGAGAGACAGATTGAGGGAGGTGATGTGAGGTGTGGTGTTTATGTGGAGAGACAGATTGAGGGAGGTGAGGTGTGGTGTGGGGGTTATATGGAGAGACAGAGATTATGGACAGTGTGGCGGTAATATATAGAGACAATGGTCGTGGGTGTTGTGGCTTTATGGCACTTGTGTAATGTTTTCTTAAATATTCCGAAAAAAATATTTATGTTGTAGCGCAAAGACTGGAATGTGAAACAATACGTTCTTTTTGGTGTTTCAGCGACGACGCAAATTAGCGCCAAATCCATCAAAACGAACGACATCGTATACACCATTCCCGTAACGGACAAGGAGAACAATCCTATATCTGTTATATCCGTGTGTGATCCGGAATTGGGACTGTTCGTTTATGACTCTGGTAAGTGGATAAGCGTTGAGATGTCTGGAACGACAATGCCTCCTAATATCGATTGTGTCGGCTCATCATAATGCTATCATGTTTTACATTGTTGCAGCCACTGTGGCGTTGAAGGCGACGACATCATTTCATGGTGTGACCAAATCCAGCATCACCTGCACACTGCGCATCAGCGACGGCAAACACCCGCCAATGGATGATGTCACCTGCTTTGTCACTATCACCATCACAGGTAGATATACGCATTAGGATCACCCTTTGTCACTATCACCATCACAGGTAGATATACGCTTTAGGATCACCCTTTGTCACTATCACCATCACAGGTAGATATACGCTTTAGGATCACCCTTTGTCACTATCACCATCACAGGTAGATATACGCTTTAGGATCACCCTTTGTCACTATCACCATCACAGGTAGACATACGCATTAGGATCACCCTTTGTCACTATCACCATCACAGGTAGATATACGCATTAGGATCACCCTTTGTCACTATCACCATCACAGGTTGATATACGCATTAGGATCACCCTTTGTCACTATCACCATCACAGGTAGATATGCGCATTAGGATCACCCTTTGTCACTATCACCATCACAGGTAGATATACGCTTTAGGATCACCCTTTGTCACTATCACCATCACAGGTAGATATAAGCTTTAGGATCACCCTTTGTCACTATCACCATCACAGGTAGATATGCGCATTAGGATCACCCTTTGTCACTATCACCATCACAGGTAGATATACGCTTTAGGATCACCCTTTGTCACTATCACCATCACAGGTAGGGCGCATTAGGATCACCCTTTGTCACTATCACCATCACAGGTAGATATGCGCATTAGGATCACCCTTTGTCACTATCACCATCACAGGTAGATATGCGCATTAGGATCACCCTTTGTCACTATCACCATCACAGGTAGATATGCGCATTAGGTTCACCCTTTGTCACTATCACCATCACAGGTAGATATGCGCATTAGGATCACCCTTTGTCACTATCACCATCACAGGTAGATATGCGCATTAGGATCACCCTTTGTCACTATCACCATCACAGGTAGAAATGCGCATTAGGATCACCCTTTGTCACTATCACCATCACAGGTAGATATACGCTTTAGGATCACCCTTTGTCACTATCACCATCACAGGTAGATATGAGCTTTAGGATCACCCTTTGTCACTATCACCATCACAGGTAGATATGCGCATAAGGATCACCCTTTGTCACTATCACCATCACAGGTAGATATACGCTTTAGTATCACCCTTTGTCACTATCACCATCACAGGTAGGGCGCATTAGGATCACCCTTTGTCACTATCACCATCACAGGTAGATATATGCATTAGGATCACCCTTTGTCACTATCACCATCACAGGTAGATATGCGCATTAGGATCACCCTTTGTCACTATCACCATCACAGGTAGATATGCGCATTAGGTTCACCCTTTGTCACTATCACCATCACAGGTAGATATGCGCATTAGGATCACCCTTTGTCACTATCACCATCACAGGTAGATATGCGCATTAGGATCACCCTTTGTCACTATCACCATCACAGGTAGATATGCGCATTAGGATCACCCTTTGTCACTATCACCATCACAGGTAGATATATGCATTAGGATCACCCTTTGTCACTATCACCATCACAGGTAGATATGCGCATTAGGATCACCCTTTGTCACTTTCACCATCACAGGTAGATATACGCATTAGGATCACCCTTTGTCACTATCACCATCACAGGTAGATATAAGCTTTAGGATCACCCTTTGTCACTATCACCATCACAGGTAGATATGCGCATTAGGATCACCCTTTGTCACTAACACCATCACAGGTAGATATGCGCATTAGGATCACCCTTTGTCACTATCACCATCAGGGAGGCGTGATGTGATGGTTATATGGAGAGACAGATTGAGGGAGGTTTGATGTGATGGTTATATGGAGAGACAGATTGAGGGAGGTGTCTAGTGGTGGTTATATGGAGAGACAGATTGAAAGATGTGTGGTGTGGTGTGGTGGTTATATGGAGAGACAGATTGAGAGATGTGAGGTGTGGTGTGATGTGGTGGTTATATGGAGAGACAGATTGGGAGATGTGAGCTGTGGTGTGGTGGTTATATGGAGAGGCAGATTGAGAGATGTGAGGTGTGGAGTGACGTGATGGTTATATGAAGAGACAGATTGAGGGAGGTGTGGTGTGGTGGTTATATGGAGAGACAGATTGAGAGATGTGAGGTGTGGTGTGGTGGTTATATGGAGAGACAGATTGAGGGAGGTGTGGTGTGATGGTTATATGGAGAGACAGATTGAGGGAGGTGAGGTGAGATGTGGTGGTTATATGGAGAGACAGATTGAGGGAGGTGTGGTGTGATGGTTATATGAAGAGACAGATTGAAGGCGGTGAGGTGAGATGTGGTGGTTATATGAAGAGACAGATTTAGGGAGGTGAGGTCAGGTGTGGTGTCCGGGTTATATGGAGAGACAGATTCAGGGAGGTGTGGTGTGGTGTGGTGTGGTGTGGTGTGGTGTGGTGTGGTGTGGTGTGGTGTGGTGTGGTGTGGTGGGGTGTGGTGGGGTGTGGTGTGGGGTGGTGTGGTGTGGGGTGGTGTGGTGTGGTGTGGTGTGATCACCCTTTGTCACTATCACCATCACAGGTAGATATACGCTTTAGGATCACCCTTTGTCACTATCACCATCACAGGTAGATATACGCTTTAGGATCACCCTTTGTCACTATCACCATCACAGGTAGATATAAGCTTAAGGATCACCCTTTGTCACTATCACCATCACAGGTAGATATACGCTTCAGGATCACCCTTTGTCACTATCACCATCACAGGTAGGGCGTATTAGGATCACCCTTTGTCACTATCACCATCACAGGTAGATATACGCTTTAGGATCACCCTTTGTCACCATCACCATCACAGGTAGATATACGCTTTAGGATCACCCTTTGTCACTATCACCATCACAGGTAGGGCGTATTAGGATCACCCTTTGTCACTATCACCATCACAGGTAGATAGACGCATTAGGATCACCCTTTGTCACTATCACCATCACAGGTAGATATACGCTTTAGGATCACCCTTTGTCACTATCACCATCACAGGTAGATATGCGCATTAGGATCACCCTTTGTCACTATCACCATCACAGGTAGACATGCGCATTAGGATCACCCTTTGTCACTATCACCATCACAGGTAGATATGCGCATTAGGATCACCCTTTGTCACTATCACCATCACAGGTAGATATGCGCATTAGGATCACCCTTTGTCACTATCACCATCACAGGTAGACATGCGCATTAGGATCATCCTTTGTCACTATCACCATCACAGGTAGATATGCGCATTAGGACACCCTTTGTCACTATCACCATCACAGGTAGATATGCGCATTAGGTTCACCCTTTGTCACTATCACCATCACAGGTAGATATGCGCATTAGGATCACCCTTTGTCACTATCACCATCACAGGTAGACATGCGCATTAGGATCACCCTTTGTCACTATCACCATCACAGGTAGATATGCGCATTAGGATCACCCTTTGTCACTATCACCATCACAGGTAGATATGCGCATTAGGATCACCCTTTGTCACTATCACCATCACAGGTAGATATGCGCATTAGGATCACCCTTTGTCACTATCACCATCACAGGTACATTGTAGATATGCGCATTAGGATCACCCTTTGTCACTATCACCATCACAGTTAGATATACGCATTAGGATCACCCTTTGTCACTATCACCATCACAGGTAGATATGCGCATTAGGATCACCCTTTGTCACTATCACCATCACAGGTAGACATGCGCATTAGGATCACCCTTTGTCACTATCACCATCACAGGTAGATATGCGCATTAGGATCACCCTTTGTCACTATCACCATCACAGGTAGATATGCGCATTAGTATCACCCTTTGTCACTATCACCATCACAGGTAGATATGCGCATTAGGATCACCCTTTGTCACTATCACCATCACAGGTACATTGTAGATATGCGCATTAGGATCACCCTTTGTCACTATCACCATCACAGGTAGATATACGCATTAGGATCACCCTTTGTCACTATCACCATCACAGGTAGATATGCGCATTAGTATCACCCTTTGTCACTATCACCATCACAGGTAGATATGCGCATTAGGATCACCCTTTGTCACTATCACCATCACAGGTACATTGTAGATATGCGCATTAGGATCACCCTTTGTCACTATCACCATCACAGTTAGATATACGCATTAGGATCACCCTTTGCCACTATCACCATCACAGGTAGATATACGCATAGGATCACCGCTGGTATACGATGAGGATAACCTGTATATATACTGTGTCAGGATCACTGGCAGTATCACTGGCAGATATACGCGTGAAGATCACTGGTATACGCATCAGGACTACTGAATAGGTATGCGCAATGAGATCGTTTGTAGTTCAAAGGGCTTATGTACACAGTTAATAACCTTTTAGATTTGACCTTTATGTTGAAAATGAAACCATATCGTAACACAGCCAACACAACCATGTTGGGTGAAAGCAGAGTTAAGGCGTGAGAGGGAATGAGGAGAATGTTGCTCCACAACTATATCAGTGTGTGTGTGAATGAGGAGAATGTAGCTGTACAACTATATCAGTGTGAGTGTGAATGAGGAGAATGTTGCTCCACAACTATATCAGTGTGTGTGTGTGAATGAGGAGAATGTAGCTGTACAACTATATCAGTGTGTGTATGAATGAGGAGAATGTAACTCCACAACTATATCGGTGTGAGAGTGAATGAGGAGAATGTAACTCCACAACTATATCGGTGTGAGAGTGAATGAGGAGAATGTTACTCTACAACTATTTCGGTGTGAGAGTGAATGAGGAGAATGTAACTCTACAACTATTTCGGTGTGAGAGTGAATGAGGAGAATGTAACTCTACAACTATTTCGGTGTGAGAGTGAATGAGGAGAATGTAGCTCTACAACTATATCGGTGTGAGAGTGAATGAGGAGAATGTAGCTCCACAACTATATCAATGTGAGAGTGAATGAGGAGAATGTAACTCTACAACTATATCGGTGTGAGAGTGAATGAGGAGAATGTAGCTCCACAACTATATCGGTGTGAGAGTGAATGAGGTGAATGTATCTCCACAACTATATCGGTGTGAGAGTGAATGAGGAGAATGTAGCTGTACAACTATATCAATGTGAGAGTGAATGAGGAGAATGTACCTCTACAACTATATCGGTGTGAGAGTGAATGAGGAGAATGTAGCTCCACAACTATATCGGTGTGAGAATGAATGAGGAGAATGTTGCTCCACAACTATATCAGTGTGAGAGTGAACGATTAGAATGTAGCTCCACAACTATATCGGTGTGAGAGTGAATGAGGAGAATGTAGCTCCCCAACTCTATCGGTGTGAGAGTGAATGAGGAGAATGTAGCTGTACAACTATATTGGTGTGAGAGTGAATGAGGAAAATGTAGCTTCACAACTATATCGGTGTGAGAGTGAATGAGGAGACTGTAGCTCCACAACTATATCGGTGTGAGAGTGAATGAGGAGAATGTAACTCTACAACTATATCGGTGTGAGAGTGAATGAGGAGAATGAAGCTCCACAACTATACCGGTGTGACAGTGAATGAGGAGAATGTAACTCTACAACTATATCGGTGTGAGAGTGAATGAGGAGATTGTAGCTCCACAACTATATCGGTGTGAGAGTGAATGAGGAGAATGTAACTCTACAACTATATCGGCGTGAGAGTGAATGAGGAGAATGTAGCTCCACAACTATATCAGTGTGAGAGTGAATGAGGAGAATGTAGCTCCACAACTATATCGGTGTGAGAGTGAATGAGGAGAATGTAACTCTACAACTATAGCGGTGTGAGAGTGAATGAGGAGAATGTAACTCTACAACTATATCGGTGTGAGAGTGAATGAGGAGAATATAGCTGTACAACTATATCGGTGTGAGAGTGAATGAGGAGAATGTTACTCTACAACTATTTCGGTGTGAGAGTGAATGAGGAGAATGTAACTCTACAACTATATCGGTGTGAGAGTGAATGAGGAGAATGTAACTCTACAACTATTTCGGTGTGAGAGTGAATGAGGAGAATGTAACTCTACAACTATATCGGTGTGAGAGTGAATGAGGAGAATGTAACTCTACAACTATTTCGGTGTGAGAGTGAATGAGGAGAATGTAACTCTACAACTATATCGGTGTGAGAGTGAATGAGGAGAATGTTACTCTACAACTATATCGGCGTGAGAGTGAATGAGGAGAATGTAGCTCCACAACTATACTGAGTCAAATTAAAAATGTCACATTTTTTAAAGTAATCCCAAAGATGATATACAACGGACAAATGGAATTTTAATCATTAATGTCCAAAGAAGGATTTTAATTAACGGTGGTAACAATACTTTGTTCCAAGCACCTACGGTATTCGGTAATAACATCAACAGTTTAGATCCCAAGTCCCAAGCACGCGAATCTGATGGCACACAAGTAAAGTAGCGTGTATGGCCACCATGTGCGTTGAAAACTGCCACACAACACCTCCGCATGGACCTTGTAATGCTTGTGAACACATGATTGGGAAGACGATGCCATTGTTGCTGCAAAATGGTGCCAAGATCTTGTAAATTCTGTGGTTGGTTCTGGAGAGTGCGCAGACTTCTGCCAAGAGCATCCAAGACTTGTTCGATGGGATTGAGGTCGGGAGACCTTGACGGCCAGTCCATGACGTTGACTCCCGCATTCTGAAGGAAATTCCTTGTCAGAATTGCTGTGTGGGGTCTGGCATTGTCGTGTTGGAAGATCAAACCGGGTCCATGTGCTGCCATAAAAGGCAGAAGTTCTGGTGCCAGTACCTGGTCGCTGTAAGCAGCAGCGTTGAGGTTGCCACGGATGACAAGAAGCCTGGAACGTGCATTGCCACAGAAAGCACCCCACACCATGACACTTCCACCTCGAAATCTGTCAACTTCCTGTACACAACACTGGGCGAAACGTTCATGACGGCGCCTCCACACCCTTGCCCTACCATCAGCAAATCGAAGATTAAATCGGGATTCATCACTGAAGACAACTTGATTCCAATTCCTCTGAGTCCATCGTAAGTGTTGCTGTGCCCACAATTGACGTTGCCGTCTGTGTAATTGAGTCAGAATCGGCCCGCAATATGTCCGTCTTGCTTGAAGGTGAACAGTTCTCAGACGGTTTCGAACAGTTTGCGCACTCAGTCTACACCTAAACAGTTCATTTCTGGTTGATGTAGTCGTCAAAAATCGGTTACGGAGGTGACGTAAGAAAATCTGACGTGGTCGACCTGGCCCAGGGCGATCAGCGGTGGTACCCCTTTGCTGTAGACGCGTCTGTAAATCATAAATAGTCCGTCGACTACAACCCATCGTCCTTGCGACTTCAGCTACGGACGTTCCCGTCCGCAACATGCCGATGGCACGTTCATGTTGCGCATTTGAAAGGCGTGGCATGATAAATGGCTGTAAAGACTTTTGTTTTCTTGTTTTTTTCTTTTTTTGTTACTGACTGCTAAAAAGTATGGCTGAAAACACGTGCGGTATTATGGCCAAGTGACCAGTTGCACGTGAAAAAACACGTTTGCCACAATAGTGCTGTGCACATGATTTTGATCGATTCACCTGCACAAAAACGGGTGTTATCTGAAGACAATACGTGGCCATTACTGTTTAAATACACAATAAGGGCCCACAATGATAACTGGTCAAAATGTTAAAATGTTAGGATTGCGAAGTTTTTTATTTGGTTCAGTATATATCGGTGTGAGAGTGACTGAGGAGCATGTAGATGTACAACTACATCGGTGTGTGTGTTTGAGTGTTTGTGTGTGAATGAGGAGAATGTAGCTCTACAACTATATCGGTGTGTGTATATGTGTGTGTGAATGAGGAGAATGTAGCTCTACAACTATATCGGTGTGTGTATATGTGTGTGTGAATGAGGAGAATGTAGCTCTACAACTATATCGGTGTGTGTATATGTGTTTGAATGAGGAGAATGTAGCTCTACAACTATATTGGTGTGTGTATATGTGTGTGTGAATGAGGAGAATGTAGCTTTACAACTTTATCGGTGTGTGCATATGTGTGTGTGAATGAGGAGAATGTAGCTCTACAACTATTTCGGTATGTGAGTGAATGTGGACAATGGGATCACTGGTAAACGTCTGAGACCAGCATCACTTCGTCTTTCCTCCCACATTAAGCTGACACGCCGTGATATAGCTGGAATACTGTTAAAAACGGCGGTAAACCCAACTCACTCACTCACTCACTCACTCACTCACTCACATTGTTTCTGTTGAGCCGGTTACGCCCTGATGTCTAATCATGGATGCATGGTAGCAATGTTAGGTGAAAGAAAGATATGTTTTTCTTGAACAAATCCTTGGCTTTACATCTCCGCGCTTCTTGATGTATCCACAGACCTGAACCAAGCCCCGACAATAGACAACGACAAGCAGGTGGTGAGGCACAGCGAGCTGACCAAGCCAGGCCTCGAACTCTTTAAGTTCGACATCACCGACGACGACAAGGTCGAAATTTCCTACGAAGTAAACCCTGTCGCATACGCTTCATATTTCACAGTCAACTCTACTTGTGAGTACATGTTTATGAACGTTCGATCATCTACACTGGATTTTTAGCAGTGAAATATCTACATGATTATTTCAAAGAGATTTTCGTTTATTCTAAGCGAGGTGTAAACACTTTAAGAACTTTATTCCCTACACTATACATATCTTTACATGATGGTATGTTGTGTATGCTATAAAGACATTCACAAGATTATTTGTCCTTTACACTGTAAAGACATTCACGGGATTATTTGTACTTTAAATTATCAAGACATTCACGGGATTGTTTCGACATTACATGATTAGACATTCACAAGATTATTTGTACTTAACACTTTCAAGACATTCACCGGATCATTCTTCTTAACACCATCAAGACATTCACGGGGTTATTTCTACTTTATGAAGTAAAGACATTCACGGGATTGTTTCTACCTTACACTGTAAAGACATTCACAGAATTATTTGTACTTTACACTATAAAGACATTCACGGGATTATTTGTACTTTACACTACATGTATAAAGACATTCACGGGATTATTTCTACCTTACATTGTGAAAACATTTACGGGATTATTTGCACTTTACACTATCAAGAAATTCACAAGATTATTGCTACCTTATATTGTACGGACATTTACGGGGTTATTTGTACTTTACATTATCAAGACATTCACAGGATTGTCTGTTTGTTACACTATCAAGAAATTCAGGGGATTATTTGTACTTTACACTATCAAGACATTCACGGGATTATTTCCACTTTTAATAAAATCAATACATTCACGGGATTTTTTGTACTTTACACAGTAAAGACGTTCACAGGATTATTTGTACTTTACACAGTAAAGACATTCACAGGATTATTTGTACTTCACACAGTAAAGACATTCACAGGATTATTTGTACTTTACACAGTAAAGACGTTCACAGGATTATTTGTACTTTACACAGTAAAGACGTTCACAGGATTATTTGTACTTTACACTGTAAAGACAATCACAGGATTATTTGTGCTTTACACAGTAAAGACGTTCAGGGGATTATTTGTACTTTACACAGTAAAGACATTCACAGGATTATTTGTACTTTACACAGTAAAGACATTCACAGGATTATTTGTACTTTACACAGTAAGGACATTCACAGGATTATTTGTACTTTACACAGTAAAGCCATTCACAGGATTATTTGTACTTTACACAGTAAAGACATTCACGGTATTATTTGTACTTTACACTGTAAAGACAATCACAGGATTATTTGTACTTTACACAGTAAAGACATTCAGGGGATTATTTGTACTTTACACAGTTAAGACATTCACAGGATTATTTGTACTTTACACAGTAAAGACATTCACAGGATTATTTGTACTTTACACAGTAAAGACGTTCACAGGATTATTTGTACTTCACACAGTAAAGACATTCATGGGATTATTTGTACTTTACACAGTAAAAACATTCACAGGATTATTTGTACTTTACACAGTAAAGACGTTCACAGGATTATTTGTACTTCACACAGTAAAGACATTCACAGGATTATTTGTACTTTACACAGTAAAGACATTCACAGGATTAATTGTACTTTATCCCCAGCTGGATCCGTAACATTATTGAAGGACCTGGATTTTGAGACACTGCCAAAAACATACATCATCACCATCGTCGCTGACGACAGCGTCCTCAAAGCAACGGGGACGGTAACAATCGAGGTCACAGACGACAACGATCCCCCGGTTTTTGATAAGAATAAGTACATTGTGTCTCTCAAAGAAGGGGAGGTAAGTCAATACTTTCTTTTATCAAAGTTCAACTTACAATACGTCCTGACACTGTAAAGTTACACTACGTCCTGACACTGTATAGTTACAATACGTCCTGACACTGTATAGTTACACTACGTCCTGACACTGTATAGTTACACTACGTCCTGACACTGTAAAGTTACACTACATCCTGACACTGTAAAGTTACACTACGTCCTGATACTGTATAGTTACACTACGTCCTGACACTGTAAAGTTACACTACGTCCTGACACTGTATAGTTACACTACATCCTAACACTGTATAGTTACACTACATCCTAACACTGTATAGTTACACTACTCCCTAACACTGTAAAGTTACACTACGTCCTGACACTGTATAGTTACACTACATCCTAACACTGTATAGTTACACTACATCCTGACACTGTAAAGTTACACTACGCCTTGACACTGTAAAGTTACACTACATCCTGACACTGTATAGTTACACTACGTCCTGACACTGTAAAGTTACACTACATCCTAACACTGTAAAGTTACACTACGTCCTGACACTGTAAAGTTACACTACATCCTGACACTGTATAGTTACACTACATCCTAACACTGTATAGTTACACTACATCCTGACACTGTAAAGTTACACTACGTCCTGACACTGTAAAGTTACACTACGCCCTTCCAATGCACAGTTACACTACGCCCTGAAACTGTATATTTACACTGCTCCCTCACACTGCACAGTTACACTGCGCCCTGACAATGTATAGTTACACTTCTCCCTAATACTGTAAAGTTACCCTATGCCCTGACATTGTATAGTTACACTACGCTCTGACATTGTATAGTTACACTACGCTCTGACATTGTATAGTTACACTACGTCCTGACACTGTATAGTTACAGTACATCCTAACACTGTAAAGTTACACTACGTCCTGACACTGTATAGTTACACTACATCCTGACACTGTAAAGTAACACTACGTCCTGACACTGTAAAGTTACACTACGTCCTGACACTGTATAGTTACACTACGTCCTGACACTGTAAAGGTACACTACGTCCTGACACTGTATAGTTACACTACGTCCTGACACTGTAAAGTTACACTACATCCTGACACTGTAAAGTTACACTACGTCCTGATACTGTATAGTTACACTACGTCCTGACACTGTAAAGTTACACTACGTCCTGACACTGCATAGTTACACTACATCCTAACACTGTATAGTTACACTACATCCTAACACTGTATAGTTACACTACTCCCTAACACTGTAAAGTTACACTACGTCCTGACACTGTATAGTTACACTACACCCTAACACTGTATAGTTACACTACATCCTGACACTGTAAAGTTACACTACGCCTTGACACTGTAAAGTTACACTACATCCTGACACTGTATAGTTACACTACGTCCTGACACTGTAAAGTTACACTACATCCTAACACTGTAAAGTTACACTACGTCCTGACACTGTAAAGTTACACTACATCCTGACACTGTATAGTTACACTACATCCTAACACTGTATAGTTACACTACATCCTGACACTGTAAAGTTACACTACGTCCTGACACTGTAAAGTTACACTACGCCCTTCCAATGCACAGTTACACTACGCCCTGAAACTGTATATTTACACTGCTCCCTCACACTGCACAGTTACACTGCGCCCTGACAATGTATAGTTACACTTCTCCCTAATACTGTAAAGTTACCCTATGCCCTGACATTGTATAGTTACACTACGCCCTGACATTGTATAGTTACACTACGCTCTGACATTGTATAGTTACACTGCGCCCTGACACTGTATATAGTTACACTACGCCCTGACACTATAAAGTTACACTTCTCCCTAACACTGTATAGTTCCACCATGACCTCACACTGTATAGTTACACTACGCCCTAACACTGTATAGTTACACCTCGTCCTGACACTGTATAGTACACTACACCCTGACTCCGTATAGTTACATACTGCCTTGGCGTCTTTCACACAGCGAATCACATGAAACGCAGCTGTTCTAGGATTTAACTATACTTTTAGAAGATAGGGGATATCGAAAATGAAGGCTAGTTACTAAATCCAAAAAAATTGACCATATCACACCGATTCTACGGAACCTCCACTGGCTCAAAATCAATGAGAGAATCCAGTATAAAGTGATGCTGATTGTGTTCAATGCGAGACACAATCAAAAACCAACTTATGTCAGCGAGCTTCTTGAAGAGTACGTGCCTGGAGATCTCTCAGATCAAGCTGCCAGTACCTACTCTCTGTGCCTAGTATCCCGGGCTGTTATGTTTGGGATATCTGTCCTTCAAACACAGGAGTCCATCAGTGGGTCCACAACACTTTATTTGTGATATAACAGTTACGGCTTGTGCATAATCACGTTTGTGGTGATGGGACAGACATGGCCAGGCAGCATATCAGAGGCGTCAGAGAGCCAACTTGCCTAGCCGCTGTCCGAGGGTCAAGTCTCGACTAACAGAAAGCGTACTACCTTTAACCCTCACTGTCAGACTGCCATGTATCGTGTTACGTTACATACATGGACAGCCTGCAGTATTCCGCACCTCATCCACAATGTTAAGCTTCAGTGGCCAACCGGCCATTCTCTGGCACTAATTAGGAGCCACTGACCTGCACATGACTCCGTGCTGTTTGCCATAGTAATAATAGTCCAGCTGCTGTTATAATTTGATTTGGGCAACGATGTGAATATTTATCTATATATATATTTAACTTATTTAACTCAGGGAATATATAAGACATATATATATATTCCCTGATAAAACCTATACTCTGCCAAACTGCCTACGATACTAGTGTTAGAACAGCGACTTTTGGAGGTCGGAGTTTCGCCAAAGTTGCCCCTGAGCTATGGAATAGGCTGCCATTTGATATCAGGAACATTGACAGTCCTACTTTGTTCCGATCAAGACTCAAAACCTATCTTTCCACCAAATCTTTCTTGGAGTATTGAGGCTTTGTGTTTTCCTAGCTGTGTAATGTCTCTTTTTTGTGTAGACTCAAATGAAACGCTTTTGAGCAGTTCTTCGAACTGAATACCAGCGCTATATAAATCTGTAGTTGAGACAGTTTTGGGTCAATCTGTGTTTCAGATATTTGTGTTCAGGGTCATATGACGTTTAGGTACATGTGTATTTCGGGCCTGTGTGTATTTCGGGCCCATATGTCGTTTAGGTACATGTGTATTTCGGGCCCATATCACGTTTAGGAACATGTGTATTTCGGGCCCATATGTCGTTTAGGTACATGTGTATTTCGGGCCCATATGTCGTTTAGGTACATGTGTATTTCGGGCCCATATGTCGGTTAGGTACATGTGTAGTTCGGGCCTGTGTGTATTTCGGGCCGATATGTCGTTTAGGTACATGTGTATTTCGGGCCGATATGTCGTTTAGGTACATGTGTATTTCGGGCCCATATGTCGTTTAGGTACATGTGTATTTCGGGCCCATATGTCGTTTAGGTACATGTGTATTTCGGGCCCATATGACGTTTAGGTACATGTGTATATCGGGCCCATATGTCGTTTAGGTACATGTGTATATCGGGCCCATATGTCGTTTAGGTACATGTGTATTTCGGGCCCATATGTCGGTTAGGTACATGTGTAGTTCGGGCCTGTGTGTATTTCGGGCCCATATGTCGTTTAGGTACATGTGTATTTCGGGTTTGTGTGTATTTCGGGCCCATATGTCGGTTAGGTACATGTGTATTTCGGGCCTGTGTGTATTTCGGGCCCATATGACGTTTAGGTACATGTGTATTTCGGGCCCATATCACGTTTAGGAACATGTGTATTTCGGGCCCATATGTCGTTTAGGTACATGTGTATTTCGGGCCCATATGTCGTTTAGGAACATGTGTATTTCGGGCCCATATCACGTTTAGGAACATGTGTATTTCGGGCCCATATGTCGTTTAGGTACATGTGTATTTCGGGCCGATATGTCGTTTAGGTACATGTGTATTTCGGGCCCATATGTCGTTTAGGTACATGTGTATTTCGGGCCCATATGTCGTTTAGGTACATGTGTATTTCGGGCCCATATGACGTTTAGGTACATGTGTATATCGGGCCCATATGTCGTTTAGGTACATGTGTATATCGGGCCCATATGTCGTTTAGGTACATGTGTATTTCGGGCCGATATGTCGTTTAGGTACATGTGTATTTCGGGCCCATATGTCGTTTAGGTACATGTGTATTTCGGGCCCATATGTCGTTTAGGTACATGTGTATTTCGGGCCCATATGACGTTTAGGTACATGTGTATATCGGGCCCATATGTCGTTTAGGTACATGTGTATATCGGGCCCATATGTCGTTTAGGTACATGTGTATTTCGGGCCCATATGTCGGTTAGGTACATGTGTAGTTCGGGCCTGTGTGTATTTCGGGCCCATATGTCGTTTAGGTACATGTGTATTTCGGGTTTGTGTGTATTTCGGGCCCATATGTCGGTTAGGTACATGTGTATTTCGGGCCTGTGTGTATTTCGGGCCCATATGACGTTTAGGTACATGTGTATTTCGGGCCCATATGTCGTTTAGGTACATGTGTATTTCGGGCCCATATGTCGTTTAGGTACATGTGTATTTCGGGCCCATATGACGTTTAGGTACATGTGTATATCGGGCCCATATGTCGTTTAGGTACATGTGTATATCGGGCCCATATGTCGTTTAGGTACATGTGTATATCGGGCCCATATGTCGTTTAGGTACATGTGTATTTCGGGCCCATATGACGTTTAGGTACATGTGTATATCGGGCCCATATGTCGTTTAGGTACATGTGTATTTCGGGCCCATATGTCGGTTAGGTACATGTGTATTTCGGGTTTGTGTGTATTTCGGGCCCATATGTCGTTTAGGTACATGTGTATTTCGGGTTTGTGTGTATTTCGGGCCCATATGTCGTTTAGGTACATGTGTATTTCGGGTTTGTGTGTATTTCGGGCCCATATGACGCCAAGGTACATGTGTATTTCGGGTTTGTGTGTATTTCGGGCCCATATGACGCCAAGGTACATGTGTATTTCGGGTTTGTGTGTATTTCGGGCCCATATGACGCCAAGGTACATGTGTATTTCGGGTTTGTGTGTATTTTGGGTTTGTGTGTATTTCGGGCCCATATGACGTCTAGGTACGTGTTTACTTCGGGCCTGTGTGTGTTTCAGGCCCTGGCATCCAGCGTCGACTTAGGTTTAAAGGTGACAGACACAGACACGGGGGACACGCACTCCTTCCGCGTCCTTGCTCCTTACAGCAGCACCTTCACCATCGATGGAACTACACTCAAGAACCTGGTGCCGATTGACCTGGACGCGGCCGGTTCCCAAACAACTTACGATATAGTGGTGAGCTGCCTCACGTGGTATGAAAGGAAGTCGTCATTCTGCCACTCATCACCTGCACAAATAAACGCCTGTTTGTCATCACAATTTATTCAGTTACTCGTACTTTATATACATCACCTGCCACTCATCACTTGCTTACCATCTCCACGGGGCAAGGAAGTTAACTGACTGTAAAAGTCCTGTTATCACTCTTGCCCAAATACGCTGGGCTCGATCGTAGCGCCACCAGTGGCTAATACGAGTTATGTCCCTTCTATGTACCTCCTATTGACAATCAGATTCCACCTCTCATATCACTTACATTTGCTTCAAACAAAATGGCGGCGCCCAGTCAAGACGATCTGACCGACAATTAAACCGTATATTGTAAGAAAGCAGGTCTTACTTCGCGAAGTGCATCAAATCAAGAGAGCACCTTGATTAAAAACATGAAAGATTTGGAAAAGATCTGTTGACGCCGAGTTAGCAGTAAAGCAAATTCTGCAAACGACCAAAATCTGCACTAAAGTTTACTAACCGGATGTCGATTTAGCTACGCGATTTTGATTGGACTATGCATAGACTCGTCAATCCAGCCAAAATATAACTCCATATTGCCAGCCTAGTTCGGCAAGGTTGGAAACTTGACTTTTGTTGTTAGTTAACTCCCTTGACCCGGGAAGATGCCTGTTCACTTTCTGAAAGTCATCACTTGTTCACTGACGATGTCATCACCTTCCATCACCCAGGTTATTATATGCTTTGTACAGGTTGAGGCTGATGATAAGAATGGGGGTCTTGCGACAACCAACGTGAGCATCATTCTTCAACAAATCAACGACAACACCCCCTACTTTGACGCCAACCCTTTTAGCAACTGCGTTATCGGACTGGCGTTACCAATTTCGACTGAAATATGCTCTGGCACTGCTAAAGACGATGATGACGGTATGTCATGCGCCTAGTTATAGATCCGTACACTTACGTTCTCTAGGAAGACATGAGTTGCAAGCTCTGAGACTCTGTTCATACTACACAAGAAGCTGCCAAGGCCACTCATCATGTGACCCTTACTAGACAGAGGTATGACACATATGTATGAAAGTATCAACGCAGAGCATATACGTAAGTCTAGAAGCATCCAAATGAAAATAGGCAATATATAGTTTTACAGGTGGTAAGATACTAAATCAATACGTCACACGTGTGTCGTACAAGGATAACCGTGACCTCTGTCATACCGGCACTACTTTTTTCATTCATAAAAAAGCTCGAGACGTCATTCTGTTTGCAACAATGCAGAACTGAAACAATCTCGTGAAAGCAAGAGACATTTACACACACTTTACTAAACCAAAAAGAGCTACTACAGACATTATATAATCGAGCTATATCCATTTGCAATGTACTACTACCAATCGATAGATTGAGGGTCCCTATGAGCGTGACGCACCCAACCACTTTCTCTACTTTCAATGTGATTTAACATAATAGAATAAGTGTGGTGAAATGTAGTTAGTTTTAACTATCTGGATATATCTGGACTTACGTTGGATGCTCCGGTTTTGCCATCAATGTCCCCTTTGAAGCGTTTTTTTCGGCACTGTTTCGGGAGATGTATGTTTATGAATAAACATTCACGACTGCACGACCAGATCACTCAAAGTGAACAGTTCCGATACAAATCATTTAAAAACTCCGTGGAAGTGTGCCTGACCTCTGATTTTGTGGCCCAGAACAATTAACTTTTTACATTTTCTTATAGGTGTCGTGCGTACTAACAACAATGCGCTTGAATTACCATAAGTTGAATATATTCTTTAAAAAGATCTTGAGCGTGGATGCTGCCATGTGTGCATGCACAACAGCAGGAACATGTTGTTAATGCGTATGCATAGAAATGTCAACAATGCCCATATTTGGGCATATATCAATATTCATGCGCAACCAGATTTGCATCCGGTTTCAGTTTCATCTGTCAACGAAAGAAAGATTTTCTGTATGTACACTTAAATACATATTTTGACATTGGTAATAAATGAAATTATACCACATTCATTCTCATTAGATACCATTTTCGAAACTCGTGAGCTTTCTATGGTATCTAACGAGAATCAGTGTAGTATTCTCTATATGTATTACAGTTGAAACATTTCTCTCCGAATAAGGCATGGCGACAAGGAACGGTTCATGATTGGAAATCTAGCGTGATGTCTTCACCCCAGATGAAATGTGAATTCTGCCTAAAAGTCAAAAAGATTAATCACAAGTTGGCACAGCCATCCAGACTTAAACGGTAGCTTACCGATAAAGATTTCATACTCCACCACCTGTTTCGGTTTTACTGATATAGGGTTGACATAATTCATCGGAGCTTATTATGAATAACATTGCCACAGACCTCCAGGACAAGACGTTGACATACTCTATTGGCGCCTCAAGCCATCCTGGAGTGTTCAAGATGGTCGGGAACGGCATCTTCCTGCAGGAGGCCCTGCAGCAATCCTACTACGGGCAGCTGATGAGTGTAGAGGTCATCGCCACAGATGCCGGAACCGACCCCGGGACTCTCGCCGGCTCAGTCAATGTCGCCTTCGAATGGGTAAGTGAACATCTGTACAGTGTCCCTTGGGCTTACAGGCAACCTTCATACACACTAAAACCCAAACTGTAACCCTTGCCTGCACTTGTTGCACACACTAAAACCCAAACTGTAACCCTTGCCTGCACTTGTTGCACACACTAAAACCCAAACTGTAACCCTTGCCTGCACTTGTTGCACACACTAAAACCCAAACTGTAACCCTTGCCTGCACCTGTTGCACACACTAAAACCCAAACTGTAACCCTTGCCTGCACCTGTTGCACACACTAAAACCCAAACTGTAACCCTTGCCTGCACCTGTTGCACACACTAAAACCCAAACTGTAACCCTTGCCTGCACCTGTTGCACACACTAAAACCCAAACTGTAACCCTTGCCTGCACCTGTTGCACACACTAAAGCCCAAACTGTAACCCTTGCCTGCACTTGTTGCACACACTAAAACCCAAACTGTAACCCTTGCCTGCACTTGTTGCACACACTAAAACCCAAACTGTAACACTTGCCTGCACTTGTTGCACACACTAAAACCCAAACTGTAACACTTGCCTGCACTTGTTGCACACACTAAAACCCAAACTGTAACCCTTGCCTGCACCTGTTGCACACACTAAAGCCCAAACTGTAACCCTTGCCTGCACTTGTTGCACACACTAAAACCCAAACTGTAACCCTTGCCTGCACTTGTTGCACACACTAAAACCCAAACTGTAACACTTGCCTGCACTTGTTGCACACACTAAAACCCAAACTGTAACCCTTGCCTGCACCTGTTGCACACACTAAAACCCAAACTGTAACCCTTGCCTGCACCTGTTGCACACACTAAAACCCAAACTGTAACTCTTGCCTGCACCTGTTGCACACACTAAAACCCAAACTGTAACCCTTGCCTGCACCTGTTGCACACACTAAAACCCAAACTGTAACCCTTGCCTGCACCTGTTGCACACACTAAAACCCAAACTGTAACCCTTGCCTGCACTTGTTGCACACACTAAAACCCAAACTGTAACCCTTGCCTGCACTTGTTGCACACACTAAAACCCAAACTGTAACCCTTGCCTGCACTTGTTGCACACACTAAAACCCAAACTGTAACCCTTGCCTGCACCTGTTGCACACACTAAAACCCAAACTGTAACCCTTGCCTGCACCTGTTGCACACACTAAAACCCAAACTGTAACCCTTGCCTGCACTTGTTGCACACACTAAAACCCAAACTGTAACCCTTGCCTGCACTTGTTGCACACACTAAAACCCAAACTGTAACCCTTGCCTGCACCTGTTGCACACACTAAAACCCAAACTGTAACCCTTGCCTGCACCTGTTGCACACACTAAAACCCAAACTGTAACCCTTGCCTGCACCTGTAGTACACACTAAAACCCAAACTTTAACCCTTGCCTGCACCTGTTGTAGACACTGAACCCGAAGCTTCATTCCAACGCTAACTCCCAACACAAATACTTTCTGCACACGTCATACGCACTGAAACCCTCGCCCTAACTCCCAACTCCCAACACTAAGACTTCCAGCACCCATCATACACACTGCAACCCTAATGCTAACGCTCATTGACCACTTCTGTGCAACCGTCGGTGGCACGACCTTCGCCCTATCTACGACCGCAGCCGCATATATAGGTTCAAGTTGATCTGTATCTGTGAAAACAAGGCGCCCATCCGAAAAACTTCCATGTGCGTTGGGGAGGGGGGCAGGGGTGGACCAGTCGTCTAAGGTGCCGCGATTCGCTGTACAGAGTTAAGCACCATACCTGTGTTCGTGGGTTTCACCGAAATGGTAAACGTCTAAGACCTGCATCACTTCCAGCATTCCTCCCACATTAAGCTAACACGCCGCGATATAACTAGAATACTTAAACTCAACTCACTCACTACATGTACGTTTCCTCATGTGGCCCATTACAACATATGTAATCACTTGCATCTGTGTCAGAACAAGGCGCCCACCTGTACAGCTCCACCATATGTAATCACTTACATCTGTGTCAGAACAAAGCGCCCACTTGTACAGCTCCATCATATGTAATCACTTACATCTGTGTCAGAACAAGGCGCCCACCTGTACAGCTCCATCATATGTAATCACTTACATCTGTGTCAGAACAAGGCGCCCACCTGTACAGCTCCATCATATGTAATCACCTACATCTGTGTCAGAACAAGGCGCACACCTGTAAAGCTCCATCACATGTAATCACTCACATCTGTGTCAGAACAAGGCGCCCACCTGTACAGCTCCATCATATGTAATCACTTACATCTGTGTCAGAACAAGGCGCCCACCTGAACAGCTCCACCATATGTAATCACTTACATCTGTGTCAGAACAAAGCGCCCACTTGTACATCTCCATCATATGTAATCACTTACATCTGTGTCAGAACAAGGCGCCCACCTGTACAGCTCCATCATATGTAATCACTTACATCTGTGTCAGAACAAGGCGCACACCTGTACAGCTCCATCATATGTAATCACCTACATCTGTGTCAGAACAAGGCGCACACCTGTAAAGCTCCATCACATGTAATCACTCACATCTGTGTCAGAACAAGGCGCCCACCTGTACAGCTCACTCATATGTAATCACTTACATCTGTGTCAGAACAAGGCGCCCACCTGTACAGCTCCACCATATGTAATCACTTACATCTGTGTCAGAACAAGGCGCCCACCTGTACAGCTCCATCATATGTAATCACTTACATCTGTGTCAGAACAAGGCGCACACCTGTACAGCTCCATCATATGTAATCACTTACATCTGTGTCAGAACAAGGCGCCCACCTGTACAGCTCCACCATATGTAATCACTTGCATCTGTGTCAGAACAAGGCGCACACCTGTACAGCTCCATCATATGTAATCACTTACATCTGTGTCAGAACATGGCGCCCACCTGTACAGCTCCATCATATGTAATCACTTGCATCTGTGTCAGAACAAGGCGCCCACCTGTACAGCTCCATCATATGTAATCACTTACATCTGTGTCAGAACAAGGCGCACACTTGTACAGCTCCACCATATGTAATCACTTACATCTGTGTCAGAACAAGGCGCCCACCTGTACAGCTCCATCATATGTAATCACTTACATCTGTGTCAGAACAAGGCGCCCACCTGAACAGCTCCATCATATGTAATTGCTTACATCTGTGTCAGAACAAGGCGCCCACCTGTACAGCTCCATCATATGTAATCACTTACATCTGTGTCAGAACAAGGCGCCCACCTGAACAGCTCCCACATATGTAATCACTTAAATCTGTGTCAGAACAAGGCGCACACCTGTACAGCTCCATCATATGTAATCACTTACATCTGTGTCAGAACAAGGCGCCCACCTGTACAGCTCCACCATATGTAATCACTTGCATCTGTGTCAGAACAACGCGCACACCTGTACAGCTCCATCATATGTAATCACTTACATCTGTGTCAGAACAAGGCGCCCACCTGTACAGCTCCATCATATGTAATCACTTGCATCTGTGTCAGAACAAGGCGCCCACCTGTACAGCTCCATCATATGTAATCACTTACATCTGTGTCAGAACAAGGCGCACACTTGTACAGCTCCACCATATGTAATCACTTACATCTGTGACAGAACAAGGCGCACACCTGTACAGCTCCATCATATATAATCACTTACATCTGTGTCAGAACATGGCGCCCACCTGTACAGCTCCATCATATGTAATCACTTACATCTGTGTCAGAACAAGGCGCACACCTGTACAGCTCCACCATATGTAATCACTTACATCTGTGTCAGAACATGGCGCCCACCTGTACAGCTCCATCATATGTAATCACTTACATCTGTGTCAGAACAAGGCGCCCACCTGTACAGCTCCATCATATGTAATCACTTACATCTGTGTCAGAACAAGGCGCCCACCTGTACAGCTCCATCATATGTAATCACTTACATCTGTGTCAGAACAAGGCGCCCACCTGTACAGCTCCATCATATGTAATCACTTACATCTGTGTCAGAACAAGGCGCCCACCTGTACAGCTCCACCATATGTAATCACTTACATCTGTGTCAGAACAATGCGCCCACCTGTACAGCTCCATCATATGTAATCACTTACATCTGTGTCAGAACAAGGCGCCCACCTGTACAGCTCCATCATATGTAATCACTTACATCTGTGTCAGAACATGGCGCCCACCTGTACAGCTCCATCATATGTAATCACTTGCATCTGTGTCAGAACAAGGCGCCCACCTGTACAGCTCCATCATATGTAATCACTTACATCTGTGTCAGAACAAGGCGCACACTTGTACAGCTCCACCATATGTAATCACTTACATCTGTGTCAGAACAAGGCGCCCACCTGTACAGCTCCATCATATGTAATCACTTACATCTGTGTCAGAACAAGGCGCCCACCTGAACAGCTCCATCATATGTAATTGCTTACATCTGTGTCAGAACAAGGCGCCCACCTGTACAGCTCCATCATATGTAATCACTTACATCTGTGTCAGAACAAGGCGCCCACCTGTACAGCTCCATCATATGTAATCACTTAAATCTGTGTCAGAACAAGGCGCACACCTGTACAGCTCCATCATATATAATCACTTACATCTGTGTCAGAACAAGGCGCCCACCTGTACAGCTCCACCATATGTAATCACTTGCATCTGTGTCAGAACAAGGCGCACACCTGTACAGCTCCATCATATGTAATCACTTACATCTGTGTCAGAACAAGGCGCCCACCTGTACAGCTCCATCATATGTAATCACTTGCATCTGTGTCAGAACAAGGCGCCCACCTGTACAGCTCCATCATATGTAATTGCTTACATCTGTGTCAGAACAAGGCGCACACCTGTACAGCTCCATCATATGTAATCACTTACATCTGTGTCAGAACAAGGCGCCCACCTGTACAGCTCCACCATATGTAATCACTTGCATCTGTGTCAGAACAAGGCGCAC